AAAAAAAAATTCCATTTGGGGTTTTATGGGGGCCGTGGTCAATTAACATTCGCTCCAGGGGGTCCGCGGCATCAAAAAGGCTGGGAAACACTGATCTAGACAATCGGCTCAAAGATGGCGGTAAGGTTGTCAGCCTTACGCGCCGACCGCCCTTTAACCCTCAGGAAAATTATTTAATTAATTCCTGGTACTCATTTCTGTCAGAGGCTGAGTCGATACCAAGGCCATAGTGTGGCTGGAAGGATTTGGTCAATTGAAAAAAAATCCAGTGACCTCATCGGGACTTGAACCCGCGACCTTCCGGTTTGTAGCATATTGCCTCACGTGTTATACGTAGACGTTTTATAAACAGAAGTGAGAGTGTGATGACTAATTGAAAGTATATTTTTTAAGGTTGGTAGACCTGCGTTAAGACCTGCTTATTACGAGCGAGATCCGCAAGACTGAAAGACACGCCCACATTCTTATACTCCTCGTTTCATTGGAAACTTAATAATTTAAGTTAAAGGGTATATAATAGGATATTGGTGGGAAAGTCAGAAGGAAAGAGACCGCTGGAAAGACCAAGGGGTAGGTGGGTGGACAATATTAAAATGGATCTTGGAGAGATAGGATGGGATGGTATGGATTGGATTGATCTGGCTCAGGATAGGGACCAGTGAAGTGCTCTTGTGAACACAGTAATGAACCTTCGGTTTCCATAAAATGCTGGGAAATTCTTGAGTAGCTACAGATTTGGCTTCTCCTCAAGAAAGGCTCAGCTCCATAAGTAAGTGAAGGGTATATATGTCGTTTTATAGCAAACAAATCAGTTGAGTAACAAAGAACAAACTAATACTCCAATCGAAATTGCAAATAATGTAACTTACTTCAAATTCCTCTCCAGTCGTTTATATTTTATTTACATGTCATCAATATGTTTGATTCTAACCCCTTTGAAATTCAATGCGTTTACAGCTACTGTCAAAACTGCGTTATTCATTCTAAAACAGAGTATGATATTAGAACGGAATTATATGTGCTTATAACATATAATTTGGGCTACAGCTTTCAGTACGAGTAACATTGCTGTTGTATAACTTCCTTTTTGAGCAATTTGAAGTTATCTAATCCGAAAACTAATTTCAGTGTCACAGAGTTATGTTAACGGTTACGCGGTATCATGCTAATGGAAGTAGCTGACAGGGCATTAATAACTGACCTCTTTCTGAAACGTAACTGTCATACATTCGAATGAACTATTTTGCTATCCTCATAGATAGTTAACTTTGGTTTACGTGAGGTGCAGACAGCTATGTTAGTGCTTAGCTCCAGAGCACAAACCCCAGGAAAATGGACTTTCTAAAACAGTAAGTATTTCAGTATTACAGTTGTTTGGGACGTGATGCCGTGTAATTTGGTAGAGAGTTTAGGGAGATGACGGATGTTGTACGGCAGACCAAAAATGGCGTCACATTACATTAACATTCATCATTATGAGAACCTCAAGTCCCATACAGCAAGTAGGGCCTATTTAAAATGTTATCTTATTTATGCTCTGGAATGAAGATGGAACAGCGTTGATTAATTCTTTTCAAATCGACTCCACCATCGTAATACTTTTTATTCTTGCAGTGAGGTGAGGTTGATCCCTAAGTGTTTAGGTCATAAAGGTCATATTTTATCAGTCCTGGAAGACAGATGACAGAAATGGAGCATTTGGTGTAATTAGAACTGGCAGAGGAAGGAAACCAGCCCGAAAACCACGCATGCTGGGAAGTTCTTGAATAGCTACAAAGCTAATGGCTCAGCTTCATGAATGAATGAATGGATATCGGATATAAGACTGATGTACAATAGAAGCTAGCTACAGTTTTGACTAAAATGTTCTTGTGACTAAGTGGAGTTCATACAAGTATGCAGTAAGGATAATCAGAACTGAAAACACTCTACAATGCACGATACTGAATTCGTTAACATAGAAGCACCATAGCCGCTGAATGGGAAGGCAGACTGCACATTTCGGTTGTTGCTATGCAGTGGCTGGCGGGTCAGAAAACAAGAAAATTCACAGCACCGAACGGCCAAGGCTAGTCCAGTTTCTTGAATGCAACAATGTAAGCAGTGTGAAGCGCATTTGAAGTGTACAAGGAAGGATGCTTGAATTTTTAAGTGGAAATCTGTTGAACATTAGGATAATAAAATGAATCTGATTTTAACGGGATCCAAATTTTGTAAAGATTTTATTTTGTTTGCTTCCTTTTTATCGCAAATGTGTTCAAGAGGCCATAACCGATTGTTCAATAAGAAATTTCGAAAACGGACTAACAAATTCCCGTTCTATTAATTAACTTCAAAACTTCAAAACTGGCGAAGATAGTGAACAGGATGTAAAATATATGCTTCATTTTTCTGAACAAGTTTTGTTCTGAATATTTTCCCCTCCGATAAATATTAGAGAAGCAACTAACTGACTGACTAACTAACTAACTAACTAACTAACTAACTAACTCCATGGAATTAAGTCATTCTTGAGGAACCGCCAGTCGCTCAGCTACTCATGAATTTCCCAATACTTTACTGAACCCGCAAGTTCATTACCGTGTTCACAAGAGATCTCCACTGGCCCCTCTCCTGAGCCAGATCAATCCTGTTAGTACCATCCTTATCTACATCTCCAAGATCCATTTTAATATTATTCCTCCACCTACATCTAGACCTTCCTAGAGGTCTCTTTCGTTTTGGCTTTTCCTTGAAAATCATATCTTCTTTCCGTAAGTCCTATGTGCCATGCCCATATGATCCACCTTACCTTCTAAAGTACAAGTTATATAGCTCCTCATTGTGTAAGTTTTTACAACCCCTTATAATTGCATCCCTCTTTCTCCATATATTCTCCTCAGTACGGGGGGATCTCCACGTATCAGTGTTGAAAACGTTCGTATGTGTGGTGGGTAAGTAGTTTATTTTGAACGCATAATCCGACCTACGATTGATATATAAGTATTACCCAATTCAAAGCATTTCCAAATACGTGTAAAATAAAAAGATCATTGCCTGAAGTGCAACCAGTCATTTTCCCCTAAATATGAGCAAATTTTCTGTGAGGGCTGTGTTTCTCGTTGTAGCAGACTGTCAATAGATCGAGGTACATAACTTCACACGTTCTGTAAGATTTGAGGCTTCTAAGGTGTGCTTCAATGCACACCTTATGCCCAAGAGAGGAACTTACGCTCACGTGTAGTGGCCGGTTATAAGACTCTCGAGGTATGTGTAGGACCCAAAGTGCCGTTAAAATTGTTCGATCTGAATGAAAACTGAAGTGACTGGACAGTTCATCTTCTTTCCATGTTACGTTTCATGAAAATCCGACCATCTGTTCCCGAGCTATTTTACGTGCACAGACAGACGGACAGACGGACTAGGCGAAATTAACAGGCATTCCGCTAAATTTGCAAACACTTAGTTCCAGTCGGCATAATGACGGGCTTCGGGTTGGATTGACGGTGTTCGATTACTGGCAAGGGCAATTGGTTTTTCTCTACTCCACAGCGTTCAGGCCGGCTCTGAGTCCTATCCGACCTCCTATCCAATGGGTATCAGTGACTCTTCCCCCAAGGGTAAAGTGGCGAGGCGTGAAGCTGACCGCGCAACTCTTTCTAGTGTTGAGGTCAAGAATGGCGGAAATATACCTCTGCTCTCCCATATGTCTTCATAGAATGTAGTTTAATTAATTAAGCAGATAGATAATTTTAACTTTAGCACTACCTTGAAATTCACATGGCTAAATCAGCTATGGATAATCGGAAAGAGACTGCATCAAAATGTATGCAAAGGACGTGTGGTGGGAGGACGTAGATTGAATTCGTATTGCTCAAAATGGAGACTAAGATGCGGGATAGCGCATTTGGTACAGCGATTGTCTATGGGCTGGACAACCGAGGGGTCGGAGTTCGGGGGCAAGAATTTTCACTTCTCAGTGTCGTTCAGACTGGCTCTGGTGTCCACCCAACCTCCTATCCAATGGGTACCGGGGAAAAGCGGTACGGGCGTGAAGATGACCACACATCTCCAACTAGAGACGAGGTCAAAAAACTGTGAATCCGTACATCCATTCCACCTTACGCTCGCATGGCGTAGTGTTTAGCTATTTAAGCATAGGGACAATTTTACCTTTTACCTTTATCAAAGTAGAGACTGGACACTGGAGAGACGCTGTGTAAGTCATGAAAGTTTGGCAGTGTGGATTTAAGAGAATGAAATATAGGACGCATCACAAGCAGCAATATTGTAACCAAAAGGCGTCTAAGCTTTTAAATTTGTAATAGTAACAGATTGAGGACGCTCAAAATGTAATTTACTTCAAAATGATCAGTGTAGAGGGGTACGCGGTAACGCAGTTTGTTGAGGGACTATGATACAAGCCGGAAGGTCTTGGGTTCGATTTTTATGAGGTCAGTGGATTTTTTCAGTTGACCTAATCTTTTCAGTCGCGCTGTTACCCTGGGGTCGATTCATCCTCTAAAAGCAACGACAACCAGAATTCTTCTTGGGGGTAAAGGGTGGCTGGCGGCAGACAACCTTACCGCCGTCTGTGAGCCGATTATTTAGAAAATGTGGGAGTCTCAATGTCTCACAACCCTTTGGGCTTCCAAGGCTTGTTAGGGAGATAGCTTACCTTTACTGTCAAAATAGATTCTGTGTTCAAAACATCTTTGAGGGCATCTGTAATAGGCAGTGACAGAAATCATTATGTCATCATTAAAAATTTACTAGAGTCTATTTTCAACTAGTGTTGGGGAACAAAAATTTCCATGTCAGAGATCTTATTGAATGCACAGAGCTTTTCTTTTACCAGGAATAATGTACCCTCAAAGATGGTTTATGAATATAATTTTGATTACTTTAAAAGGATATATAGGCCTGATTTATGGTATATTTTTGAAGACAAAATAGTATGGTGAACATGATAAAGAATAAGCAATGCTTTATAAAGAGAGGGAAATTTCCTGAGTACGTGAGCGACTGTTAGCTTCTTTAGGAGGACTGTACTTTTTAGAGTTTGTTAGATTACAATACATTTAAATTATGTCTAATTACTCTGTATCATTATGTGCATTCTAAATATATATATATATATATATAGCAGACAAATAGGAGAGATTTTCTTGTTGTTGAACTAGTTAAATATTAGGGTTATAAAGCTGTTTCCATAAATTATTATCAAAGAATTGGTCTTTCTGCCTTTGTCTGGGTTGACCTACATACTCTTACATGTCAGATTGTAATACATTGATAACTTTAGTAACACGCATCTCTGTTTGTTTTTATGCTGTTTATTCAGTTCCTTTGATTGTTACATTGTTGTTTGAACTTGAAATCACTCCTTTATATCTGCATTCCTGTGGTGGTACAATTTTGTAAATCCTGCTGGGATTTAAAAAATGAGACTGAAAAATGGAAGAAGGGAAAAGCAGAAGTGTAGCCCTAGATTACAGCTGGTATAACGAGTGGTCACACATAAATGTCAGGGCTAGGTTGACCTGAGGTGCAATCATATGCACTTACACAGGCCAGCAACAGTGAACTAAGAAATAACTCTATTTGTTTAACCACAATATAAGTAAAATCTAACATAATACTGATTAAGATAATACATGCAAAATAATGATACCGTTATACATATCCAACATGAATGACAGTAAGTTTTTATTAACAAATGTAACAAAATAAAACATAAAATATAAAAAGTTATTCTCGGTATTATTGGGTGTTTGGACCTTATTACCATTCAGTCAAAAATAAAGTTTGAATGCCTAATAATCCCGAATGTTATACTCCATCACCAGAACTCTTTAGAATATACTTGAAAAGCAATTCTCTATGCATATTGATATACAAACAGCACATTGAAGTTAATGACTGATTGTGATTATTTTGAATTGGGCTTAAAAAATTCAATCAGTGAAAAGAAAAAATATATCTAGAAATGATTCAGCCATCTTAGGGAGCTGTACATAATTAGAAATATGTGTTCTTGTGTGTTGTACTGCATAAGTCAAGACAGTGGACTTTCATCTACATAATTATTCTCTTAATTTCTATGCCATACAGGAGTGTAAACCTACCAGCCTTCAAAGCAGTCAAGAATGAAATATGTAAGAACCACACTTTAATGACAATTGAACACATATTCCAGGGATCACCATGGGCATTAAACAGTAAGAATTGATTACTATAATCTTAAACAAGAAATATTCAGGACCATGAACTTTAGAAACTTGTCAGTAAAACAGTCTACAAGCATGAGTCAATTAAATATACCAGAATGTCACTTGTGAAAGCTTTTTGTCTGCTTCAAGAAACTAGAAACAGAAAGAGCACTTGATGTCTAAGGATAAGCTATGCAGATCACCAGTTTACTGTGTTTCATAGATACAGTCATGTGTAACAGGAACATCAGAAATTAAAGGCATAGTGCTGACACTATGCGATTCACTCTGTGACTGAAGTATGTTACCATAAAAATTTGTAAAGATATTGCTTCCATGCTATAAGAAACGAATTTATTCTCAAGCCATGTCAGCTGGTTAAAAATGACTGACATTTCAGGAACCATCATGATTCTATGACATCAGATCCTGATGATGGTGGAAGAGACAGTTCCTGAAATGTCAGTTCTTTAACCATCTGACATACAAGATTTTTTTGTAATAAGTTGGCAGCGAAATATTTAGCATGCATAAAATACTGTGCTACAGTGAATAATGTTCAGCTATGTTACACAGTGTTTGATTCATCTACGAAGATTCCGGAGGGAGTACTCATGGGTACCATTGCCCATCTGGGAAACTTTGATGAATGTTTGGGAGTGAATGTGAATGAGGACTGGGGTTCATTCAAGGGCCAGCACTGCATGGCGAGTGTAACCAGGAATATGTCTGGTTTTGTGAGGGAGGTATGGTATAGTTCTCTGGCACTACATCCTGTGATTTGGAAACATACATTTTGCTTGTAGTTAACACCAGATCATCCACCAAGTAAATTTAGGCTCAAGGAATTGTTGAATGGTGAACTGAAATCATTTTATGTAATTGAATTTGAATAATTTTGTACAGTAAAGATTCATCGTTTCCTAAATACTTGTATATGTTTCACTGATAGCCATTGTGATGATTTCATGATTTCAGCTACTACAGTAACTACATTCATATTAATTATGTTGTGGGAGAGTCTTCATTATACTGATGCTGAGTAAACACTTGTCACACACTGATTTGCTTACAGATGCAGAAACAAATGTCAAAAATTATTTATCATTGTGAACAATTTTAATACATGCATTAATGGATGCATTTATCCATCATGCCATCCTGCCTTTCATCCATCCAACCAGACATCCATACAGCCTTCCAGCCAACCACCCATCCACCTATGCGCCTACTAATCCATGTAATTATAAATCAATGTTTCTATGTATCTATCTATGTGTTATTTGTCTTTCTGTCTATGTATCAATTTACCAATCAGTGATTCATGTGACATGTATGAAATTGTGATTTCACAGACTTTCTTGTATGGTGTTTGTTTATAAATTTTATTACTTATTATGATCCACTATGATTTATTATGATTAAGAGAAAGCTTACTGTGATAGCTTTTAACACATTCCCACTGAAAACAGAATTTGCCATGTCATTTAATTGTCTGAGAAATTTTATGTGAATTATCGAAAATGATATTAACATTAATCATTATGGAAGTTTGCAGGTTGTCTTCAATATGATGCCTGATCAAAGAGTAATGAGACTACATTCCTGAAAATGAGAATGCCGCCATTATTTTGAGAGTTGATCTGTTCCTTTCAAAAAGTCGGATTTGACACATATACATTTGTCCCTACATTCCTGCAGATGTTAGAAGTCCTTCTTAAAATCAGTGTTTAGAATCACCTAAAACTGCTCTTCTGCGATGTGTAGTGTGTTTTCAACTTCATTAGATCTTCTGTCTTTCCAGCTTCTTTTCAAGTTCATGGAAATAAAATGTCTCAGGTACCATCTGTATGGGGTATGGAGCCTGTTTTAGTTGAAAATACTGCACAAGACTGGTCAAATCCACTTTCATAGGAATCTTCAACTCAGCAGGCTCCAACTGTTGCAGCACTTGTAAATAGAAATGTTGATTAACAGCTTGACCTTCTCAAGAGTACTCATGTTGTACAACTTGCAAATAACCAAAGAAAGAAATCAGTGCCACCATCCTATAGTTGTGCACTTTATAGATTCTATTTCCTTTCCAATGAAAAGGGGTTCTTTCATCTTGATGACTGCTGTTGAGTTCTCGGGGTATAATTGTAGACCTATGATTAATGATCTTTTGTGGTAATTTAAATAATTTACGTCCGTCCCTGAAAATCAAAGAAACTGGAAGTCACAGACAAATGGTTTTGCTTCTCCACCTGTCTTAGCAATTTTGGAATGAACTTCTCTTAGTATTTCATTGCAGATCCTTTGGTTACAATGACAATGAGCCATAAGAATATCTCTCTTCAGTCATTTCGTACTCTTGTCATCCACCATTTCATACAAAATTGTGACAGGCCTCAGGAGACCTAATACTACAGGGGATGATTATGTTGTGATTCTGGTTTCAGATCAGTGGACCTACTTGTTTTAATTGTATATAATGCCGTTTTTTGTATTGATTCAGGAAAATCTGAAGATAGGGTGCAACATAATTTCCTTTACCTATGCTCACTCCATTATCCATGGCATTCCCTTTCCTAAGCAATATATATTTACTTGTATATGTGTTCTAATAACCTACACACACAGGTTGCAGTGGGAAGGAGGTTACGAGCTTGTGCTTATCAGTGCATTCCCATGCTTATAATATTCTGTAAGAAATCCACCCATGATCTGTAAATTTTCAACCATGCAAACTAATAAACAAAACTGTGATTTTTTTAGGTGAAATCATGGACATTTAGATGGGCAGTATGCATACCATCTTCGTGTTCTGCTGCTGATCTCAAGGACTTCCTTACCACAGCATATCATTTTAATATAAATGTGAATCCATTAGAATGTCATACTCAAGGAAGTAGGTCATTTCTACCACTTGACTGGCTTGCAATGTAAGTTTAATATGTTTGGGAATAAATGGTAAATGTTTCTTGGTTTGTTAATGGTTTTAACTTACTTACTTACTTATTTACTTAATCTGTTCCTATTATACCTTATGGTGTCAAGGTGTTTTTTTTTATCATTTTACAGAAGGTAGGGCTCCTTGGACGAGTGATCAGCTTGTTGCAAGGTCTCTACCTAAACACAGGGCAACACGAACACAGAATAAACACATACACATACCAAACATGCCTTGTGTAGGATTCGAAGCATGATCTCAGCTTCTGAGCGAACAAAGACAATACAAGCCTTAGACTGCTCAGCTGCAAACAAAGACAATACAAGCCTTAGACTGCTCAGCTGCCGTGACTAGCCTTAATGGTTTTAAGCTCAACTGAAATTCACTGGTTGTCCAAAATTATAAAATCTAAAAGATAAAAATAATTTAACATAAATTCTGGTAGTTGAATTTTTTCCAGTCCTGATATTATGACTGTGCCATTATGACATAAGTCCTTCAGAAGTAAGTACTGGCACTTCCTCCACTAACGATATAATAGTCACATCATGAAAACATAAACACCAAAACCTCATCTGTAAGGTTATGATGAACATTGATTAGTGAACGAACTCGAAATGATGTGAAAGCAAGAACTTTTAGTATACAGACAACAGGCACTATCCCAGAATTTGAGTGGAAGGATGTATTGTATTGTATTGTATTGTATTGTGAAGTTTACCAGTGTCTGAGCCAATAGTTGGTTCCAGAAATTTACAAATACAAAGCAGATATGCTTACCACTTCACCAGAATGTTTGCTTGTTTATTTTAATAAGTAGTCTAAAATAACAGGATTCATAGTTCTCACAGCAGTGGTTATGAAGAGTTATAAAGTTGTCCCCTGTGCTTAACTAATGAAGCAGTATGCCATGAAGATGTATGAGGGAGTGGATATATAGCCATATAGACCCAGCTTTTCTTGACCTTGGCATTAGTTGGAGATCAGTGGTCAGCTTCATGCCCTGGCTGCTTTAATCCCGGGAAAAAGCCACTAGTACTCTCATTGGACTGGAGGCTGTGTGGGCCCCAAAACTGGTTTGGAAGGCATGGAGAAGTCAAAATTTCTTTCCCCCTTCAGGACTCAAATTTTCATCCATTGGTCATCCACCCTGTAGCCAGTTGCTATACCGAATGCGTTATCCCAGCTCTTTGAAAAGTTATATCTCTTGGAATATAACACCATGAAGTCCATTGAAAGTGAACCACGTTTTGAATGAATAAGTTGCTTCCATCTTCAGCGCTGTTTGCTACCTGCTTCATGCTGGTATTTCTTGCTTGCCTTATTCCTCTACCCTGGAAAGTGAGTTAGAAATTTCCTCCAAAACATAGGTTACTTACAATGGGATACATGGCATTATATCCCAGACATATAATTCTTAAGGTTAACATAAGTTATAAATGGACAATTACAAAATTTCGCTGCACATCTTGAGCAAATTTTAAGTAGCATAGAATCTTAGGAATTTAGATTATTCTGTCATAGTTTCAATGCTTGCATTGCTCTCCTGTTTGTATTCAAAACATAAAGAAATACTGCAATAATTATTATACATAACAGTACCAAATTTCACATGAGTAATGGTTTATTTGTTACAATTCTCAGACAAAAGTCATGTCATTAATTTACATTCTGTACAAGAAAGATTGTCTCTACCTCCACCATTTCGCTTAGTGGGGGGTGGGGTCCAACTGGGTCCACTCGGCACGGTGGCCACTGATTGGACTATTGTAACCTGCCCCGACTATGATGATGGAGAATTTGGTGGGATGAAGTTTGGCAGGGGAAACCAAAGTACTCAGAGAAAACCCACACCAGCGTCACTTTGTTCACCCACTTGACCAGACCTGGGAGGCCGCCATGGTGGGAAGCCAGCGACTAACCCCTTAAGCTATGGTGCGGCCTTACCTCCACCATTATGCTGGCATTAATGCTGATGACAGGGAGTTGAAATATATGATGATGAGATGGACCCCAGTGGCATGAGATTCATATCAGGTTGTATAAGATATCATTTAAATGGCTGAGAAATTATTATGGCAGAGGACTTACATATGCATGTGCACATGCTTGAGTACATGCACACATAAACAAACACAAACATGATAGACATTAGGATAACAAATAATGTTTAGTTGAGAAATGTCACAATATTTTGAATTCCATCATGTGAGGAAAAATTCTGAAATTTGAATTGATCATCTTTTAGTTTTAAGAGTCCTTCCTACTTGTACATGGTAAGCACACTTTGGACGACCACTTTTGACAGTCCTTCTCTTCACGCCCGTGTTGACACAGCCTCGGTTGTAGTTGGGTTGCCACGTGGTCTTAGGACCACTTTGAAATATCGAGAATGGCTTGAGGGTAGGAAAAGGGAACAATATCCAGAGCGTGACCATGATATTCTCTTCAGAGCTTAACAGGCCTTGCTCCAATGAGAGAGGGTTTATTGATGAAGTCCCTGGATCACACTTTACCGATGAAATGATGTACTTGATTTATTTGACAGCACTACACGATTTTTAATAAGTCAGTCACTTTAGGTCACAGATACAGCTGTTCTGGTACACAACACCTAGTAGTCACAGTGGATACATTGAATGTTACATATATACTGCACACTGAATGTTACATGTATACTCATTCTGAATACTATTACTATTACTGCTGTTACTACTAGGTGCGCCATCCATATTCAGTCCTTTAAGTACTCTTGGATGATGTAATATTCCAGAACATTCTGCATCAAGAACTTTCTTGAAGCTTCCACACTGTTCTACAGATTGAGAGTGCTCTGGAACTTTCTTTAACTGGGTTGGTGGGAGGAGTAAGCGATTCACATGCCACACCGGCTATCAAAGATCGTTCAAGCAGCTCTCATCTAATCATTCCTTGCCACAAATTCTCAGAATAGTTAATGCAAAACTGAGTATAAGTCACATTTAGTACAAAAATGGTATTAAGTCCTAAGTATTAATATTTAAGAATTAGGGCAGTAGGTAATGATCGGTTACAAATGGGAACCCTATCCAAAGAGTGAGATGTGAGGTGTCATGTCTACTGTATTTTGTGGGTGTACTGAAGCACTAAAAACCATAAATCTCTTACAGTAAAAATTCTCAAGGTAGGTAAGCNTGTAGTTGGAAAGGGAAAAGCAAACTGTCTAGCAATAAAATAAAATCTCCTGCACTTTGAGATTTTTCATAAATACGTGTACTTACTTACTTTTCTCTAATATTTCCAGAGCAATTCTCGGATTCTTTGGCCTGCTATGTATTCTCAGCACTGGGTATGATATTGCTGTCACAGATCTACGTAAGTTTTATTATTTAAAGTAAATGTAAACAATTTTTAACTACGTATTGATGGTATCTGACCATCAAAACAACAATAAAAATAAACCAACCCAACTGCTTGCATTGGTTTTATATAATAACTGCTATATATTTTGGTCCTCATTTTGGACCATCTTCAGACAGTCTTGTAATACATCTCTTGTTACCAGTGCTTGAGGTGGAATGAAAATAGAACTGGGATGCCATCCAACCGCATCCTGCCCCACCTCAAGCCCTGCTTGTTACTGAACTGTCCTAATATGGATCCATATTAGGGATACTCATCACAATCATATGATACATGCAACTGTAACAAAGTTGCAAGAATTTTTCTGATTTAAAAATTTTTCAAAATTCAAATTTAAATTTAAAATTATTTAAAATTCTCTTGTTATTGAATGTGAAATTCTATGTTGTTTTTGTGTTTTATCCAACATTGTAGGCTGTCCTTCACCCAGGGTTTGCTATTATGCCATATTTATGGAATATATTTACAAAAATGTTATTAGTGTTTAGTTTCTTCTCACTTGCCTCCTTGAGTATGTCGCTATAATTTTGTTTTGTTTATGTTTTATCTGTTCCTGATTACAATGTGGATCAAAACATGTAGGAACAATCAAATAAAACCAATGTGAGTAGTTTGATTATTTTATTTTCATTGTTATATTGAGGGTCAAATATTACCAATCATGATACACAGCAGGATGCAGACAGCAAATTTAAAAACATAAATCTGATGAGTCATCACTTTTGTAATTCATGGGAATCATAAAAATATGGAAAATGCGTTCATTTACATCTTGATTTAGTGTCATGTGCTCCCTTTATGGTATAAGACTAATAATCTTGCATTAAATTTGTATAATGCAAATTCCATACAATTTGCTACTAGCAACACATTTTCATTAATTTAAATGTACATTATGATGATGAAATAATTTATGAAATGTAAAGAACTAAATTCCTTAGTTTAGAAATTGGCTGTAGCTTAAATTGTTAAACTGCAAAACACAGAGTGAATATACTCATATTAAAACTAAAGTAAGTTCAGAATGGTTTGCTGTGAAGATAGTCACATCTCTCATGGAAATAACATACAAATCATAAGATCACTCGGTCATGAAAAATATAATAGGGGAAAAAATATGAATAACTGAAAGGCACACAAAAATTTGATTTCAACAGAGCAGTATTTTCACAAATTTTTAGATTAATTCATAACTGAAGAGAGAATATAAGATGATACAGCTCAATTTATGGTGTTTAATTAGAAAGCAACCGATAACATTGAATTATGAAACCTATGTCTTCTGGTACAATTACAGTTTTCCACTGCAAGATGAAATTCAGGATAAATCAGGATAATGCACCTTTGGGATTTATTATTTTCTTCTGTGCAAAGATGAGTGGACAGTAGCTGTAAGAGCAGCACAGATCTTACATTGGCGAGTCATAATTGATTTTTTCTTGTATTTTGTAAAATATGCACCATAAAAAAATGTTTCTAATAAGAGTTACAGATCTTAAACCAATGGCATACTTCAATGATTATGGGTCATCCCATAATTCTTGTGATTATAATTACTGTAATGGTTGCAAAGTGTTACCTAGTGAAAGTGATTATTAAAAAACAGGTACAGTACAAATATAAGTCTTTTGACAATTTTGAAAAAGTTATTTTGTGACACTAATTAAATTAATTATAATCAGGTGTATTGAAACAAAATAAGTAGTACCTAAATGGCTATATAAGATCCATATTTTACACTGTTTTAATATTCTGCTGTACAGTGAACAGTTTTTGACAAATTTTATGACTTGAGTTGATGATCTTCATATAACAGTAAACTGATGTGGACTAAACTAAAATTAGCATGGTAGTTCATATTATGAACTCCACCACTTGTCTTGATTGAAATCTGTTGACTTGTGGTGGAGAAAGCTGGATATCTGGAGGCATTTCTAGCATATTCTGTTGTTGGTACATTACACTCAGGATTACTTAATTTTCGCTTTTTAATTTTTCTAATGTTCCGAAATAACATAATGTTTCAGAAAATGGATCTCTTTCCTGTCTCATGTGAAAGGGTGTGGAGGTACACATTTACCTGTGTCTTTTTGAATCATTTGATTCTTTCATTGCAGGATGGAGCAGTTCAGTATTCTGAAACATTGTATTCTCTTAGAACACTAGATGATGGACAAAAGGGCATTTTATTACTTCCATTCATTTATTCATTTTTATACCTTGAATTGTCCTGTCATTGTAAGGCATGCTGTGTTTTAAAATGAACAAAATAATTAAGATACCAGTGCAAAAAAACACATAGAATATCGGACAAAGGACAATGTCCAAAACCTCAGTAATCCCAAGAATGTATTCGTTGGACAAATATAATTGAAGCATGAAAATAATCCTAACATGTAACTTTTAACAAAATTATGAAGCTTGTCAGCAGTCTATACGAGCCATGTTTTTGTCACTAATTAGAGTTTCCATCAAAAGAGGGTTATTAAATAATTTTCAATTAATTTTTCAGAACCAAAGTATCAAAAATATGTAGTTCATAAGGCTTATATAACATACAGCATGCAAGAGTTATTAACTACACTGATGTAGATGGATATATGAGAACTTCAGTATGTATCTAACTCAATAACAGATCATATTATTAAAATATTTCCTATATGCAAACAAGGGAATCGCAGGGAAGGTCTACTTATCTTCTCATGGTACATGAATGGGAAACGGCTCATGAGCACAAAGAGCTCTGGCAGTATACTGGAGTGTCTGCATGGTATACGGTTCCTCAGCATCATTTGGATCGTATTTGGGCATGTAATCTGCATAGCAGTTACTTCACCTCAAGTTAACATGCTCAATTATGAAAGAAAAGTGAGTAATACCTGTACAATAATTATTATAATACACAATAAAAACTGAAGTAAACATGAAGGTCCCAGCTAATTTAATGGTTAATGTATGTGTTGTTCTGTCGTATCCACAGCGTGCTTTGAGAGGCCTAATACTGGGAGGAATTATGATGACGTATTTTTCATTTCAGTTCAATGGATTTGCTTCTTTCAATCATATCTATTGCCCTTGATTTGTACCAAGGCAGGAAAATCTGAAGAATGGGTGCATCTGCATGCTTGCTATCACATATAACCGTTGTGTTGCTGAATTTCACATTAAAATTTTAGATGACTTATATTCATCTAAACAGATAGTGATACTCAAGTGTTACACACGATGAAGTCCTCTTTTGTCACCATTAATGGGGTAGAGAAAAAAAAAACTAGTAACACCTGACTGTAGTGTACACACCAAAAATTTTCCAAAAGATGTGAAATCAGGAACACACAGGAGGCAGTGTGAGGGAAGATGAGATCATGTGAGATAACAGTGATGCATAGAAGGTTGAAAATGACCTTAGTGACTGATTCATTGCTCTGACTCTATTACTATAGATGAGAGACTGGGGACATGTGGCTGTACCTGGTGCGTTGTTCGCTGTTGACTCCTTTCTCTTAGTAAGTGGTACTCTGCTATGTTACACCTTCATGAAAACAAGCAAAGATGTGAACTTCAATCTACCTCTCTACATACTTTATCGATATATGAGGTGAGACATAGTTTAGTAAAAGAACTATTACTACTTCAGTATTTAAGTGGGAGGTAATTATTCTCTGAATCTGTTAACAGAATAATATTTTAACAGATTTGCTCAGTTCATTGCCAGGCAACAGCTCTGTAAACACGGTCCAACACACAACAGTAGAGGAAGCTGTGTCTTCTGTAGATCCCATCAACGTGCCAATAGACTGGGTGGATAGTGATCACGTGATGTATGTTTATGTAGCTCCATTCTGCGCCTATGTACATGACAGAATTCGTTCAGGGCAGTTACAAGTTATGAGTTATGAGTCAGTCATAAGATTGGGGAGTTCAGGGGAGTCTTTTAGTTGAGTTCCAAAGTTCCAGGGTGATTGAACAAGAAATGGCAAGAGGACTTCATAGTGATTTGAAGTGTTAGTTTCTGTGTTGAGATCCATTGCTAGGGGGTAACTAGTGGAGACTGAGAATCCTAGTGCGTGTGCAACAGTGAACTGGAAAGTCTGTAAATCAGCGATTGCGCTGTATGAATTATAATTAAGAGAACTTGTAACCGAATTGCTAATAAATCAATCATCCGATCTAGAACCTGTTATTTTTGTCACGCGTGCCACATTACACATGATAATATTTTAAGAAATATTATATATGTCCATGATATTGTGAAGTGACGCCTGATATCCGGAGTAGCGGAGCCAGAAAAGACGGCCATTGCTAAGTAACGGTTGGCTAAACGCGTTCCAATTCCAATGTATGGCACCGAACATGCATCTCTACTACAACGAGTCACTAAGCAGAATTGGTTACCATAGGAATGACAATGGTTTCTGATATACTGAAGTTACAAAAAGCCGGTAACAGAATGGTAAAACAAGGTGATATCTATTCGGTTCTCCCGAAGCTATGAGGGGAAATCAGAAGAGACCAGAACAGGCACATAGACAGTACACAGAGGGCAGTACAGAGCAGGCCGAGCAGCAGAGGGTGCAGCACTTGAACAGAACTCGACAGACAGATGCTGAAGACTTTATTTTATATGGTGTAGTTACAGCAACATTTAGAGTGTTGTCCCTGTTCATAGTTGTGACATGTTATAGTTACAGTAAGATTGAGAGTGCTATAATTAATTGCAGCTCTGACTGATGAACTTCAAATAAATCGATTATCCATTCCAAAACCCCTCGTATGATGTCAAGGTGATGTTGGGTCATATTTTATATAATTAATAAATTCTATCCTAGTGGTAAGATATGTAATATACTTGATCATCTTCATATTCCAAATCAGAGGACTGGCATAGATAAGTAGGATTTGAGGTTCTCACAGCTGTGGTTATGAAATGTTATATCTTCCAGGGTATAATGGCATGTAATCTAATGAAAATTAACCTACATTACTGAGGAACAGGTTACCTACGTTCTCAGAGATGACAAGTAAAACAAACAAGAAACTAGCATGAAGCAGGCAGCAAGCTGCACAGTTTACTGGTGAGAGATATGGGGTCAAACATAAATCAGAAGGGATTGAAAGATAGCTTGTCATTTCCCATTGGCTCACTCTGAGAAATGACCATAGCCTGCAAGAAAGGAGAGAAATGTAACTAAATCAGCCATGAAAAAGGTCGTTTTTCAGATCTGGGCCAATATGGGAAGAAAGTGCATGTGATAAAATGAAGGAGAATGGGAGTGAAGCAATGTGCATGGGTCACAAGCATGTGGTGGAAGGATGCAAAAAGTAAGAATAGTGCACGGAACCTTGGACAGGAAGGAAAGTCTTAGGGTTGATTGTTGCCCAGAGAGACTGGAATTGGTTCCATGATAAGGGCAGTGTGCACGGATCTATGTGGTCCAATGGAGAACACATCTATAGAAACCTATGAGGGAGGCTTCTTATTACCTTCAGGGAGCACATGAGAGGTTTCCATAACTTTCTTAGGCTGAAGCATACTTGCTGAACATATTATTGGGATGGAGCTCAATCTCCATAACCTCACTGATGAAACAATCCACATATCTAGGTTTTAGGGAGAGGATGCTGGGGGTATGGAGCTGGATGCAGTGTTCCAAGCTGCTGCTATGCTCTACCATAACTGACGTGTCCAGGTGTACTAGCGGGATATGATGATGGTGCTCCTTAAACTTGGTGCTAATCAAACGAACTGTATATCAATGTAGGCCTGACCACACTCAATGGGGATACAGACTACTCTGTCCTGAGACCTAGGTTACCCTTGAGTGCAGGGCAGGAGGTCAACTGAATTGATGTGCCAGGAAAGAACTCGGCCAGTGTGAATGAAGTCCAACCTAACAGTAGGCAGGAAAGTAACTGTACCTGTCTTCCTGTTGGGAAGAGAAAACTTTGTGGAGGATTGGGAGTCATGTGAATCTGTTAGCTGCTGTAGCCTTTCTGCCTGATTGCGTCCCTCAAAAGCTCAAACTCACCATGAAGGCTGTCATGATAACAAAGTGCTTTGGAACTGTGCACCAGTACGGGAATTATGGCATGTGAGCTGGATGGGTGCCAATGAGAACTGGAGATTACATAGATGTTGGTAGGAATACATTTACTATGTATCATATGGCCTAGAAAGTCATAAGACCTCTTGTTAATATCTGTGTGCATCTCCATGATGAACTCAGAGTTATTGTGGAAATATGAAGCAGGCAGTTGAGATTGCAACCTGCTTCATGCTGGATTATTGCTTGGCTTATTCTTTGACCCTGAAGGTTGAGGTAATATATTCTTTGGAAACATCTGTTGACTTTCAACAGTCTACATGATATTATATCCCAGAAGATAGAACTCTTCATAACCATTGTTGTGAGAACTTCAAATCCTACATAGTATGTTAGATAGATTAGCCATAAATCAAGGAGCGCATCTGTCACTTCGATGCATCTGCTGAAAGTTTATCAAGGAAAAGAAAATTCACATAAACCGTCCTGATTGTGATACTGTTTATTTCAGCAGATTCCACTACTCAGGAGGAAACTAATGCCTCCATATCCACTCTCTTTCTCTGAAGAAAGGGGCAGCAGGTTCTTCCCAAAATTTGCATAATATACTGAACTACACCCCATCACATCCCATAGGATTATATTCTTTGTACTCACAGTTGTGAGTAATCTTAAATCTTTCATGTCTCCAATTATTTCTGTAAGTGGCTATTCAGTTTCTGAAGGCACTGCTCTCCCTAATATTCCCAATATCCATTTTTTCTCCTTTTTTCTGTGCACCTCTCACATGTAACAAGCTTTTAGACATTTTCACTCGTGGAATAATGGTGAATTTTACTGTCAGCTTCAGTTTCTTTCAATAGGGATGTTCATTTTGAAGCATATCTCACATTTCACTGATAAAAGAAATTAATTTCTTTTTCATTTATTAGGACAACACCTCTGATGGCTGTACTTATTCTTGTATACACAAGTCTGATCCTACACCTTGGATCTGGTCCCATGTGGGATAGCTACTTTCACTCAACTCATGTAGATATCTGTAAAAGAAACTGGTGGACAGCAATTTTTCACATCCAAAACTATGTTCATCCTACGGAAATGGTAAGTATTGGCTTGGGAGTGAGATAAGTGATGCAAGAAAAGAAAACATGAGGGCACGCCAAAATGTACTAAGTCTCTTTTCTGAGAAAGAAACCATATTGTGGTATGGCTGAACTGAACTAATTCTAATTTGTGCGAAATTTCATATTTCAGCCACTAGAGGTAACCGAAGTACAGGCATGACAATAGCATGGCATATGTAGAAGATGAAGGTTTATGAGCCATGTACTGTACAACTGGGAGGGTTTTTAATATTTTATCCTAACGTTCAATCATTTAATGAGGCAACTGAAAGTAACAGTATAACACAGTGTACAATACTGGCCTCTTGAATATGAAGTCATATGATGCAGAAATGCAATTGACAATGTTCACATCAGTGTCATAAAATTTCACTACAGTGAAAACTTGTTTGAGAAATTTGTATTTTACAAAGCAATTATTCTGCCACATAGCATACTCAGTTAAGCAGTTCTTTTAGTGACTTGAAGCCAGCCCTTCAACCAATCAGTTCATATAATAAAAGATTAGGAGACTAATGGAAATCCACCTTGGTGTGAAGCTACTCTAAAGTTTTTAGGTAAAAGAACATCGTTTTCCTGTGCTTAACGAATGAACATTATGCCATGAAGGCGTATGGGAGAATGGATGTATAGATCCATATTTTCTTGACTTCGGCACTAGCTGAGGGTGAGTGGTCAGGCTCATGTGCTGGCTGCTATACTCCCGTGGAAGAAGCCGCCAGCACCCATTGACTAGGACTCAAAATTCGACTCCCTGGTCATCCAGCCTGTAGCCAGTCCCTATACTGACTACATTATCCCAGAATCTCTAAAGCTTTTAGAAGCACATCTAAGTCCAATTCATATCTTCAAAAGTTAATATTTTGCATAGTCAAGTACAATAATAAAACAAGCAAAAGCCTAATGTGCTTCTACTCGCACATCAAAAGCGATTATCAATATGCAAATGTTCAAAAAATAAAGGCAGAAGAGTACAAAATGAAAAGTGATAATAAAACAGAAATGATGTATCGAATAGCAAAGAACCAGTCCCTTAAACAATTGCTTAGTGAACAGAAATTATTTCACCAGTCAGCTGCACTTTTCACTTTTGTCACAATCAAATTTCAGTGAAGGACAAGCATCATCTGACATAATATCAAGTCATACCTAGAATCGATGATGAGCTTCACTGTCAACTCTTGCTAGTGGGATGCATGGAAGTGAATGGAAGATGATGCACTAAAGCAAAAATTTCTTATTACTGGACATGTTTTCCAAGCTGTCATGCTTTTAATATTAGCTGCTCATATGTAATTGCTGGATCTTTTAGGGAAGAAAGATTAACAGACACAACAAATACAAAATTATCTTCTGAAGAATAAAATCATTGAAACTTAACTATCTAGATAATAACATTGTAATAATCATATTGTAAATAGAATAAACTTATTCATAGGCATTATACAGTGAAAAGATAAGGGATATGGAACTAAAATTATACATTTTTAATCTCAGAACTAGATGGATGTGACTTCTCAGCTCGACACTACAGCTGTTTTAAATGGGTAGAATAGCCAAATTGGCACATGCATGTGTGCATGCACGCACTTACACACACACACACACACACAATACTGAATGTCTATATGAGTGGATCCCAGATAAATCCTGGAAATAGGAAAGTGAAGAAAATTCTGACACCACACACCCCAAAACTCAACGAATATTATCCCACCTATTCAATCAACAGCATACCACTTCACTGACTAATTTAAAGTAAAGCCATTTTTTGGTGTAGTAAATATTTCTGTGTATGTATATGCATACAATTTGTCCTATTCAATTTGATTATTTAAGCATTTAAGCTTTCAATGAAAGTATGCATTATTATCAGAAGAAAATGCTATGATATGGAGATAGTGTACATATGGTGGAGATTTCATTACATTGTACATATATTTTTATCTATTCATACATGTAGTATTTACCAGTTTAATAAAATCCCAATTTTAATAGCAGAAAATGGTATAATGGCATGTTTAACATGACTAAACATTTTCATTCACAGTGCATAGTTGAAACATGGTACCTGTCTGTTGACATGCAGTTATATTTGTGCTCATTTCTCCTCCTTCTGCCTCTCTGCAAGAAGCCAAAAACCGGACTAATTTTGCTTGAAGTGGTAACAGCAGGTTCTCTCATTTCCTGCTTCTTGGAGTTATGTTTGAACAATGAAGTAATATCACTGTAAGTATATCTCTCTGTCTATGAATGTTTGCTGTCTGGCGCAAATGTTTTGTTCTCTATGTTCATTATATGTACTGGGGTATGTATCATAACACAATTTTTGAACTTCACATTCAGTGTCATGAGGTCTCCCTGATTAGATAATAATTGTAAAAAGTCACACGTTCGATTCCCGATTAGGCCACTGAATTTTTTTCAATTTACCTAATCTTTCCAGCCACTCCATGACCCTGGGGTTGACTCAGCCTCTAACAGAATGAGTACCAGGAATCTTCCTGGGGAGTAAAGAGCAGCCAGCGAGTAAGGCTGACAACATCACCTCCATCTGTGAGCTGACTGTCTAGAAAATGTCAGAGCCTCGACATGTCACAACCCTATGGGCCTCTATGGCCTGTTACATGGATAGCTTTAAATTAACTTTTTTATTCATACAAGCTTTTTGTTTAATGTTTCTGGTTTTGGTGATTATTTAGCACTAATGGACATACTAACACAAGTTAGAGTGACACTAATTGAACTCAGAAAGCAAGAAAGGAAAACTCATTTGCTTCTCAGATGTAACATAGAATATCCCTCACCATGGAATAGCTACACAATACAAATTCCAAGCAGCTGTATTAGGATAATGCATCCAGTAAATGGTAATTCAGTTAACAACTCCAGGTGTCACCAATACTCGAAACACAAAGTCATAATGATGAACTAAGTTGCATCTTCAGGATGTCATGAAATACAATATAAACTATTGAAAAAATTCAATACCCAGCATCTACAAAACAACTGCATTAGGAGCAATGAGACATGTACAAATTATCTCCAACTACAACAAAACCTTGTGACATTAGATTTTTGGTGGATGCTACAATTAAAATAAAGATATGTAAACAACAATCCATGTAAACTTAGCATAACAATCCTGGTGCATTTAATGTGTTACTGCCACTGGCTTTTCAATTTGCTTTTTTCTGAAGCCTTACATGGGTGTGAAACTTTTTCTCTCACATTATGATAAGATCACAGCCTGTTTAAGAACAGTTTGCAGGGGAGGCTATTTGGGGTTAAGAGACTAAAATAATAGGAGGCTGGAGAAGATGAGGAGCTTCATAAATATTTGTATCATTAGCTGACAGTTTATTGATGTAAAATATATAAATAAGGATTCTATCCGTAGTTTCAACGATGTTCCATCCTATTCTTATGCACACACTCGAGCTGCACCCTGGTTTATTGGAATGAATTTGGGTTACTACCTCTTCCACACCATCCAACTGAGGAAAGATATTGCTGCTGGAAGAAGAAGTGGTCTTTCAAAGGTAATAACATGTGTCTAAGATAAGGATAGAATACCTAAGAAGTTCAGGAGATTCAGAACCGAAAGGAATGTGTTTGAAAGTTATCCAACACTTCTGTTTATTTTCAAATTTGTGCATTTAGTTGGCTGTAGCTGTGACAGTATAATACAATATGACCCAGTGATAGGAATTTTAGCTCCCATGTGAAATAGGTGGTGGACAGAGAGCAACTTACTTACATTTAATTTCTTTATTTATAGTTCTAAGGGAAAACTGTGATTATGGGAACCAACTACAGTTTAGAATTTACCTAGCTGCTGAGGCTAATTACAAATGTGGTGATAGTGAGAATATTGGAAAAATGAAACTGTGATCAGAAATGGATAACAGAATTGCATTAGTATGCAGTTTGTTTGCCTCACCATATATATTGAAAAGCAAAAGGAAAGTGGGCATCATAAATTATTTCCAGAATTTTTTATTCAAGATAGAAGCCCAAAACTTACAATTGTGACAGAACATTTTCCATGTGTATCTGAATATCATACACATCAAAATTCACAAAGTCTAGTACAAGCAACTGCTAATATACACGGTGTATGGTTGGAATGATTTCTATTTTCATGTAATAGAGACATTTTTGAGCTCATGACGATTTTTGTGAGTCTTATTTTTAGTTTCAAGTTTGTTTTGCAGTAGAGATACAGTTCGTCTGCCTACATAACACTCACTGCCTGTCAACATCAACCGATGGTTCAGAGGAATATGTCGCCGCCATCTTCAGGGTTGAAAAATTAGCCGACCAAGAAACCAGCACAAAAGCATACATAGAATTGACCGTTGAAATTACTCAGTTATAAGTATTTGCAGTTCTAAGAACTTTATATTCTGTTTTCATGCCGGTATCTCGCTTGGCTTATTGTTCACCACTGAAGATGGTGGCAACATTTTCTGCCAAAATGTTGGTCGAACTTTCAAGCACACTGTGTATTTTGTGTGAGGAGCGAGAGGTTCACACCACAAACAATTCATATTCATACTGCATGCTGAGCACATAGGTGTACCTTACCACTCTGATATTCAATGGCCAAACTTAGCTAAAGTCCTCAAGAGAGTGATGGACTTGCAAGAAGATATACCAACAATCTTGGAGAAGAAAAATAAAGATCTATTGCCCCTACAAATATAAGACAAAAATGTAAAAAAACACTTGAAACATCAGAACTACTTAAAACTGATTCTTTGTAACACCAAATACAGAAATTTCAAACGCTTTCAAAGATGATGTTATTAGTGCTTGCACCCCATACACCTGTGAACAAATATTTCTTTAACAAAATGGGAGAAATCATATTTTAGATTATGGATGAAAGATGAACATTTGGCTGCAGTTTTGAATGTTGCAACATTAACATCTCTATGATATATTTGGAAACTTGTCAGCAACTGTAGGAAGCACCATCTGTTTCATTAAATGCATTAATTTCGTGAGAACTTATCATGGATCATACAATTAGACAGTTACTCAATGTTTTTGATTTTACATTGCCATGTGACCACTTCCAGCCCAGCAAAGATTATGAAACTATTCACTCAGCCCTTCATCACAGATTATGGACACTTGTGTTATAAATAATGATACACCTGTTGCAGAAAGTTGTGGGTGTTGGTTGGCTGCTGGCATTTGTCTGCTTGGCTGCACCAATCTTTATACAGCATCAGTTTGTACAGGAAGATTTCATCCCTAGTCGATTGGAGACAGCATTTTTTAAAACTCTATCAAAACCAATATGGTCTCTAGGAATTTCCTGGATTATATTTGCCTGTGTTTCAGGATATGGAGGTAAGTACTGTAAAGGTTCACAGTGTTTCTATATGTGATGTACCATATACCAGCATTAGTATAAAGAAGGAGAGTAAGGTTTGCTTGATCCTGTGGATCCAAGAAATATTCCACCAGACAACTGTGATTTCCCTAATCCTGTAAGCAGGATAATACTTCATGGGTTTAAAGTTGATTCAACTTAAATGATTATTTATATCAGCATACATCCATGCAGAGAAGGAAAAAGAACAAAGTTAAATCAGCTAACAATAAATGTTCATGTTAATATTTCTTCCACTTTGAATGTAATAGTTCCTGATTTTAGTTCCTTATGGATTCCCTCAGCCAATTCAGGCAAATTCTGGCATATCATTCTACCATTATATATGCTCTGATTCATTCTTTCTGAATTCTTATTCATGATCAACAATTCATACAATGATATAAAATCTGCATAATTCAAGAAGAAACAACTTTGTTATGCTAATCGTTAAAGATTAAACAGTTCATATGTAAAGTTCGCTTGAACTGGTGAGGATGGTACAGTGGGAGAAAGCATTTCTGTTTGTAGTGTTATAATGTTTCCTAAAACTATAACAGAACTGTAACTTATACTGTAGTTGCAAATTTATTTTTTGAATTGAAATCACGAGCTAAGCAGAGTACTGTTTGTACCACACACGAAGCATAAAAATTTAATTTATGCATGCTGTTACAGGTCCAGTGAATGCCTTTTTGTCATGGAAGTTCTTCCACCCACTCAGCCGTTTGACTTACAGTATTTATCTCCTTCATTTGTTCATCATAAGAATACACTTAATTTCAACTAAGACTCCATCACATGCTGATGACTTGAGTGAGGCAAGTAATGTGGCAAATTTCCAGTCATCATATTTTTACATTTAGATTTATGTTTACTTGTAATAAAGTTCAGATGTAGGTACTTTACATGAAATGATTCTCATGCTTAAGTCTCAGAAATGACAAACAAAGGTGGGGCATTTAAATGTTAAATGCAGACAGAAAGGTTCATACCATAATAATCTGAAAATATGAACTACGGTGTAACTGCAGGGAAAACAATAAGATATTAATATTTTTGGAATGCAAAATGCATATCTGGCCATCTATTTACAGCTTCATCTGAAGGGTTTATGTTGTTTTGTGTTGGCATATAGTAGTGTGTGTATTCTACAAATTATCACTTTTTAGTAGTTATTTGTAGTCAAAGGATGATATATCAAATTATGATACAAGGACAGCATTTGGAATATACCAGGTGAAACTAAATTCATGCACTAGTTCTCTACAGTATGAATTCTTGTTTGAAAAAAAAGACACAAGTGGAAAAATATGTCCTGAGATGCTTACTTTTCGAGATATACTTCTCTCTCTAACAGGGTAACATATTTTTCAGAAGTGCAATATGTTACCATGATACACACCACATTGTTAGGTGTCCTCAGGACAAGCAGTACACAGCAGTGCCAACTCTGATTGGATGATCATGGGATACACACGTGACAAATACTGCTTCATAAACTTAACCCTTGGTACCTGTGATATTCAAACTGATACTGCTGCATAAAAATACATACTACCTTATCTGAGTCGATGTTATCCAAAAGCTGAGGTTTTTTTAAGTATGGAGCATCATCTCCATGAGCCAATGAAGACACCACAGTTGTGGGTGCGGAACAAGAGCCGTGGACTGATATCTATGCAGGTGTCATAGTGGTTTTCAGCAGTGATGTACACTACCTTGATGGCAATGCCTGCATCATTAACTTTGAATTTCTAAAATTTTTATGTCTGTGCAACAGGTATCAATCTTGTTTTCAACAATGGTGTTCACTATCCTGCTGGCAATACCTGCATCACTAACATTTGAATTTCCTCTGTCAGCCCTTCTCAGGCTTCTTTCTGGTGAGTTGAGGTAGCATAAAACCCATATTAGTATATAGCTGTACCTATATAAAAATAAGAGGAAGTGAATTTTATGCATATATCTACAGTCCTGCTTAGTTACATGGGAAAGGTGTATTTAGGTATTATGTGCTATTAACATGCTAAACAACTAAATCAAAACTTAGAGTATAAAATTAAAGTAACATAAATTTTGGTACTGAACCATAATGCATGATGTCATTACACTCACCACATAACTCAGATATCTCTAACACTACATACTCTCATGTATGTGGGGTTTCTGTGACTAACAGTAAAGGGTTCTGGATTGGAAGATTGGATTTAGATATATAAAATTTTTATCTGTCTGACAACTTTCTATTTAACTTTGTAGTTTAGATAGGAAACCTTTTTACCATGATGCACATTTCCAGTTGGCTGAAAGGGAATCCACCATCCTATAATATCATGATATCACAATTTTTCAATTCACAACAATAGATTTCCTTGTGATGTGTCTAAAATGTAAGCCTGGGCAACAAGGAATATAATTTATTATTTGTAATTCAATTATTCACTTCTAAGGGGTGATTTTTCTTACTCACATTTCCCTAAGGATTAAAAGAATTTAAAAATTTTTAGTTTTCTCAAAGTAGCATTCCTTATTTTGTTATTTTTGTATGATCTGTGATCTCTTAATACCTTCATTTCATCGAAGTATTTTTATTAAAAAATCAGTATAACATGACAATAATCATTGCATTTGACTGAAATGTTTGTCTGAGTATCGAAAAATGCCAGAGATTTATTTCTAGTTCAAGAATACTTCAAAAGTCATGGAACATTTATAGTTTACTCTGTGCAGTTATTGTTATTTTGTTGTCCCATGAAACACCAAAAATGAGAAAGGAATTTGTAATGACTCCTCGAGAACTTTCTCTTGTCAACATCTTCATAAAATACACAGCTGTTGAATCCAAGACCTATTTCAAGCTACACTCTTAGAATCCGCATGGAGGTATTGAGTAAAATCACGAAAGTCAAGGTATTTGGTATCATTATATGATTTTGCCCACTGTCCTCACATGGTCCAGGCCTGGGCAACTGTCAACCTACTTCTTATATAACTATGGCATGTGAACGCTGATCACATCAATGCATGATGATGGAGACAGAGACCGACTTCAAAACACTGGACACCAACTTCTCACTGAAAGGCCGATTGCCCCAGGAAGCTTCATTTGGTAGTATTTTTTCTGAGAATAATAAAACATGGTATATACAAAGTAAGTTTTTTATGCTCCTTAGGTTACTGGATAACACAGAAGAAATGGGCTCAGCATGAGGTCAGCAGTGCATCCCAGCAGGATGATAAGACAGACAATGGTGCTCCCCACTGTGTAGTGATTCCTGGTTCAAGCATCAGTCATGATATGAATACACCAATGAAGCACCCATCAAATCTTATTTTGGATGGAAACTCCATTCACAATGGAATGCAATGAATTAATTGAGTAATGAATGGTCATTTGCATTTATAGGATATTTGTATCTTGTAATATTAGCACTTATATTTTGTTTGAAATATAACTACAAAGTCCAGGAACTGGTTTGTGTAGTGTAAGAAATTCTAATAAAAAAAATACTCAGAATTACTTGTGGTCCAGTGATTGAGGGTAGCTCTTTCTAAGGGACCCAATGGACAAAGTCTGAAAACTTGGTAGTTCTGAGTATTATACAACATCATCAGTAGTATTTAGGATCTACAGAAAAAAAAAAATGTGCCAGGACTTGCACAGTAAAGGAAGAAGCCGAAACTGCCTCATGGAGTAGGCTGTATCCACATATCACAAACAGTTCTAACCTGCCTAGTATCATCTCACCAATTTGTGAATTTCCTTCTTGTCTGTACCATCTTTCAAGTTAATACACTGCATTATGTTGTCTGCCATGTTATCACAATGTGAGCAATGTATGTATGTGAAGTTACAAGTGTTACATGGGGTGATGTGATGTGAAGGTGGACAAGACATCTTCTGTGTTGTAACCTCGTATAATCTGGAGACAGTCAGAAGTTTCGGAGGAACATTTCGCCTCCATCTCCAGTTAGAAGTGTAAGCCAAGCAAGAAACTAGCAAAAGTAAGCGGCAAGCTGATAATTTTATTATATATTCTTCTTCTCTTTGGCTATATGGTACTTTAAGTCTAACCTTTGCCTCTCTCACCATTCCTACTCATTCTCGCTTATCTTCAGCCTTCTTTCTCCACTGCTGTACTCCATATTTCCTAAATCATTCATAACATCCCCAGGCATTTTAATCTCGGCCTTCAAATGTTCTTCTCCCCGTCAGGTCTGCCATCAGGGAGTTTTTGTGGTACCCTGTTGCTTTCCATTCTCAGAACATGTCCTAGTCATTATATTCTTCTAGATTTGATCTCAGCCATAGTGTCTGCTCTGTTATATAGACTTTCTAGTTCCCTATTATATCTTTTTCATCATGTGCCATTTATATACACAGAGCCACACATCACTCCTAAAAATTTCCTTTCCCAGGACATGAGAGTTGCTTTTGATATCCCTGTAAGTATACATCTTTTCTTATATTGAAAAATTTAATACAATAATTACAATGCATTAGATAATTCAATTATATAAAGTAACAAATTAATAGCATAATTACCTGAATGATGCATTTACCACCTGCCACTGTAATTGTAGGTCCCTTGTTTAGCTTTCTTTTCCACCCTGAGGATGGGAACAATATGTTTTCTCTGAATTATCAGTCACCGAACTACACGGCATTACAAGCCAGAAGACAATTCTCTTAAATTTCAATATAATATATGAAGTTTTTCGAATGCATCATTTATGCCCAATGAAGACGGACTTGGCATCGAATTAGATGGTATATATTTTAAAAGTTATAAATATATGTGAAAATGTGATGAATAATTGAAAGTGATATTTTTAAGGGTTGGTAGGCCTGCATGAAGACCTATTACGAGCGAGTTTGCAAGACTGAGAGACCCGTCCTCTTTCTTACATTGCTCGTTTCATTAGAGATTTAATATTTAAGTTAAATGTTATACATCATTTAATAGCAAATAAATCAACTGAGCTACAAGGAACAAATTAATACTCCGATCTAAATTACAAATATGTAACTTATTTCAAATTCCTCTCCAGTCGTTTATATTTTATTTAGATGTCATTAAATACTGTGACGTGTATACCCATTGCTAAGCATCAAGTCGGTAAACACATCCCCGCGCGAGTCAACGAGCGCAAGAATAGGACGTCCATTGCTAGGCCACGAATCAGTAAACATGACTCCTGAAAAATAGATGCTGTATTTTCCGTGGTGTCCGTGCAGAGGGGCTATAGGAGGACACAGACGACGCGTCAGAGTGGAGTACAGTAGTCGAGAGTGAAGAGTTGAGTTTCGGGACGCGAACCTGCCGGGATATGAATTTCAGAGCAATGGGATTGAATTGAGTCGCGTCTTCGGAAGTGGCAGTTGCAGAATAATGGCAAGAAGGGAATTAGGTTGTGAAAGGAATACACCATGTGTAATTTGAAGTGACAATGAGACTGTGATAAATCCGTTGCCAGGATACGACTATTGAAGACTGAGTCCTAGTGCGTGTGTAACGGTGAACTGAAAGTGTGTAGAATAGCGACCGCGTTGTATTGCCTGTAGTTCCGAGATGTGAATGTATAAGGCGAGACAAATCCAATCCAAAATAACCGTCTTTTAAGTCATNCTAACGGTGAACTAAAAGTGTGTAGAATAGCGACCGCGTTGTATTGCCTGTAGTCCCGAGATGTAAACGTATAAGGCGAGTTTATTATTTATTGTTATTAAATAACTCCACAAATCCTGTACAGGGGTTTAGCACCCATAGGATATAGAGCTAGTCAAACTTATACAATCTCATACAAAACATAAGGCGAGACAAATCCAATCCAAAATAACCGTCTTTTAAGTCATTAAGACGGGTACACGTGACAATATGTTAGATTCTAACCCCTTTGTAAGAAAATGCATTAGTAGCTACTGTCAAAATTGCATTGTTCATTTCAAAACAGAGAATGCTATTAGAAAGGAATTAGAGGTGGTTATAACACATAATTTGCACTACAGCTTTAAGTACGAGTAACACGTATCAAACAATAATATTTTTTTCTCATTTTGAAGTTATCTAATCCGAAAACTAGTTTCAAAGTTATTCATGGAATTACGTTAAAGGAAGTTATATATACACGGTGTCGTGACAACTGAAGTAGCTGACAGCGCATAAATAACAGACCTCTTTCTGAAACGCTATCCTCATAGCTAGTTAACTTCGTTTTCCGCGAGGTACGGAGAGGTATGCTAGTGCTTAGCTCCAGAGCACAAACCCCAGGAAAATGGAACTTCTAAAACAGTGAGTATTTCAGTATTACAGTCGTTTTAGGGCGTGACGCTGTGTAATGTGGTAGAGAGATTAGGGAGGTGACGAGTGTTATTTGGTAGACAGGTTACTATTATTCACACTAAATGGCGTCACATTACATAGGACCACAAACTTAACATTCATCATTATGAGAACCTCAAGTCCCATACAGCAAGTAAAATGTTATCTTATTTATTCTCTGGAACGAAACAGGAGCGGCGTTGATTAATTCTTTTCAAATCGACCCCATCATTGTAATACTTCTTATTCTTACGGTGAGTTGAGCTTGATTCCATTGGTATTTGGGTCGTAAAGGTTCCGTTTTATCAGTCCCGCATGACAGATGACAGAAATGGAGCATCTGGCGTAATTAGAACTGGCAAAGGAAACCGAAGTACTTGAAGAAAACCAGGCCGAAAACAACATTGTGCGCCACAAATCCTGCATCAACTGATCTAGAATTGAACCCAGGCCGACATAGTGAGAAGCCGGATCGTAATTATAAGTGGTTATCAATGTAATAAAAACAGTTTAAACCAATTTTTAAAACATACATAGTTCAAAACAATTTAACATTAATTTTATTAACGCCCTTCCTGCCGCACGAAATGTATTGGTTGTACCGCCATGTTAAGAAGTTTATGGAAACTGTCGTATTTATTCCGCTGTGAGAAGGGCTCAAGATATGGGTAAATGAAAATAGACGCCGTCTGCTTGGTTCCAGAGTGCATTTTAAGGTGGCCATTTCTAGTGCCTTAAGACGTCACACCTTCCGTTCGCAACAACGATTCACGCAGGAACAAGCTGATGACATCACATTGTGATAATATCCATATAACGTGTGTCAGTTATTCCAGCGGGCATTATGCTGATCTGGGGCGTAGTTAGCTACTAGTCTAAAGCCAGGTCAATTTTTATGAAAGTAGGAATTGTCACATGATGGTGAGAACGGTATTGACACAAGGAAGACTTTATGTCCTGGTATTTCACACTGTGTAACATCAGAAGACTTCCCCATTTATTGTTATTTATTGATAAGGGGTAAACACAGATTGAGGGTGTTTGAGAACAGGGTGCTGATTAGAATATTTGGACCGAAGAGAGATGAAGTGACAGGAGGTTGGAGAAAACTGCATAATGAGGAGCTTCAAATACTTGTTAAGCTGGCTTCCCACCACGGCGGCCCGGGTTCGATCCCGGGTCTGGTCAAGTGGGATATGTGGTGGACAAAATGATCTGATCCACCTTACCTTCTAAAGTACAAGTTATATAGCTCCTCATTGTGTAAGTTTTTACAACCCCTTACGATTGCATCCCTCTTTCTCCATGTATTCTCCTCAGTACGGGGGGATCTCCACGTATCAGTGTCGAAAACGTTAGTATGTGTGGTGTGTAAGTAGTTTATTTTGAACGTATAATCCGATCTACGATTTACACGTATATACAAGTATTACACAACTCAAAGCTTTTCAAAATAAAACAAAAAATCATTGCCTGAAGTGCAACCAGTCATTTTCCTCTAAGTATGCGCAAATTTTCTGTGAGTGCTGTGTTTCTCGATGTAGCAGACTGTCAATAGAGCGAGGTGCATAACTTCATACGTTCTGCTTCAATGCACACCTTAGGCCCAAGAGAGGAACTTAGGCTCACGTGTAGTGGCCGGTTATAAGACTCTCGAGGTATGTGTAGGACCCAAAGTGCCGTTAAAATTGTTCGATCTGAATGAAAACTGAAGTGACTGGACAGTTCATCTTCTTTCCATGTTACGTTTCATGAAAATCCGACCATCTGTTCCCGAGTTATTTTACGTGCACAGACAGACGGACAGACGGACTGGGCGAAATTAACAGGCATTCCGCTGAATTTGCAAACACTTAGTTCCAGTCGGCATAATGACGGGCTTCGGGTTGGATTGACGGTGTTCGATTACTGGCAAGGGCAATTGGTTTTTCTCTACTCCACAGCGTTCAGGCCGGCTCTGAGTCCTATCCGACCTCCTATCCAATGGGTATCAGTGACTCTTTCCCCAAGGATAAAGTGGCCAGGCGTGAAGTTGACCACGCAACTCTTTCTAGTGTTGAGGTCAAGAATGGCGGGACTATACCTCCGATCTCCGATATGTCTTCATGGCATTGTGTTTAATTAATTAAGCACAGAGACAACTTTAACTTTAACACTACCTTGAAATGCAAATGGCTAAATCAGCTATGGATAATCGGAAAAATATTGCATTAAAATGTATCCACAAACAAAAATAGCGGGAGGGTGCAGACTGAATTCATATTGCTCAAAAAAGAGACGGGACACTGGAGTGACGCTGCCTAAGTCATGAAAGCAAGGCAGCGTGAATTTAAGAGACTGAAATATATGGTAGAACTTAAACAGAAAAACTGTAAAAAAAAATGCATCCAATCTTTTATATTCGTAATTATAACAGCTTGAGTACGCTCAAAACATACTAAGGGCGTTCCGTATATAATACCTCTTATTTTTTTTAAGGAAAACTACAACAGATACAGAAATCATAATAACGCAGTTAAATAGAGCAAGATTTCAGCTACTTAAAGCTATTTTTCCACATAATCACCACCATTCGTTATGCACTTTTGCCAGCGATGAACAAGAGCCTGTATGCCGTGCCCATAAAGTCTGCGCCAGCAGAGACTAGCCACTTTCTTACAGCTGCAATGACAGCAGCGTTGTCTGGGAAAAGTTGCCCATGTAGTCCATCTTTCTTAGGCCCAAAGAGATGGAAGTCTGAAGGTGCTAAACCGGGGCTATAAGGTGGTTGTGGTAGGACAGTCCAGCCAAACTTTGCAATGTGCGCGGTGGTCGCCAAACTGGTATGGGGTCTAGCGTTATCGTGTTGCAAGCGAAAGGTTGTCTGCTCCTCTGGCCTGACTCGGGAAATATGGGCTTTCAGCTTAGTCAGCGTCGTCTTGTAGCGTTCCGAATTGACAGTCCCTGATCGTTATCTGCTGATCTGTTCGGATGAGGCGCTGTTCATTGTGAGGAGTGGCAGCTGAGCAGGGACGCCCATGGCGTGGCTTGGCGTGCACTTCACTTTCGCCACTGTTGAAACGCACTACCCACCGAATCACTGTGCTGACATCCACTGTATTGTCTCCGTACACCTTTAGCAAGTGTCGATGGATGTCAATGGGTACAATTTGTTTGGCAGTGAGAAATTCAATAACACATTTCTCTTTCATACGCACTTCTATGTCAGACGCCATTTTGGTAGACTGCTCTGCTGTCGCTATCTGTCGCACGACAACCAAATTAACAGTACATTGGCGGGAAGGTTCAACCTTTACTACAACACCACCAACATCCAGCTCAGACATTACGTATTAACACACACACACACACACACAAAAAGGAGGCATTATATACGGAATGCACCACGTAATTTACTTCATAACTGTCAAAGTATAGGGGACATGCGGTAGCGATGTTGGTTGAGGCACTATGCTAGAAGCTGAAGATCGCGGGTTCGATTCCCGATGAATTAATTTGATTTTTCATTTCACCTAATTCTTCCAGCCGCACTAATGCCCTGGGATCGACCCAGCCTCGAACAGAAATGAATACCAGAATTCTCTATGTGGTTAAAGGGCGGCTGGCACTTAACGCAGACTTCACTGCCATCTGTGAGCCGATTGTCTAGAAAATGTGGGAGTCTCGATGTCTTACATCCCTATCGGCCTTTAAAGCCTGTTAGGGTGGTAGCTTTAACTTTACTTTTACTGTCAGAGTAGATGCTGTGTTCAAAACATCTTTGAGGGCATTAGTATTAGGCAATCGCATAGATCATTATGACATCCTTAAAAATTTACTAGATTTTTTTTTCAACTATTGTTGGGAACCAAAATTTCCATGCCAGAGATCTTATTGAATGCACAGAGCTTTCCTTTTACCAGGAGTAATGTACCCTCAAAGATGGTTTATGAATATAATTTGGATTACATTAAAAGGATATATAGGACTGATTTATGGTATATTTTTGAAGACAAAATAGAATGGTGAATATGGCAAAGAATAAGCAATGTTTTATAAAGAGAGGGAAATTTCCTGAGTAGGTGAGAGAATGTTAGTTTCTTTAGAAGGACTGTAATTTTTAGAGTTTGTTAGATTACAATACATTTAAATTATGTCTAATTACTCTGTACCATTATGTGCATTCTAAATATATATATTATATACAGCAGACAAATAGGAGAGATTTTCTTGTTTTTGAACTAGTTAAATATTAGGCTTATAAAGCTATTTCCATAAATTTTTATCAAAGAACCGGTCTTTCTGCCTTTGTCTGGGTTGACCTACATACTCTTGCATGGGGGACTGCAATACATTGATAACTTTAGTAACATGCTTCTCTGTTTGTTTTTCTGCTGTTCTGATTATTATATTGTTGTTTGAACTGTTGTTATTACTGAGTTTTGAGACCTTATTACCGTTCAGTAAAAAACAAAAGTTTGAATACCTAATAATTCCAAGTATGACACTCCATTGTCAGATCTCTTTAGAATCTACTTGAAAAGTAATTAGTTATGTATTGTGATAAACAAAAAACAGATTGGAGTTAATGACCAATTGTGTTTATTCTGAACTATACTTAAAATGTTTATTTAATGACCAGAAAAGATAAATCCAGAAATTATTCTGCCATCTTAGAAAGCTGTACACTAGTTGAAATATGTGTTTTGTGTGGGTAGAACTATATTTGCACAGGGCGGCAAATATAGTCAACCTGGCCTTCCAAGCATCTGTTAGAACTGAAAGTTTGTAGGAAATGTTGTGCTGTGTAAGTCAAGACAGCGGACTTCAAGCTACATAATTATTCTCTTAATTGTTATACAATACAGGAGTGTATACCTACCAGCCTTCAAAGCAGTGAAGAATGAAATATGCAAGAACCACACTTTAATGACAATTGAACACATATTCCAGGGATCACCATGGGCATTAAAAAGTAAGAATTGACTACTATAACCTTAAACAAGTAATATGGAGGACCATGAACTTTAGAAATTTGTCAGTAAAACAGTCTGTAAGCATGAGTCAATGAGTTAAAGACACATGGATTAAAACTGCAATTAAATATACCAGAATGTCACTTGTAAAAGCTTTTTACCTACTTCAAGAAACTACAAACAGAAAGAGAACTTAAAGTGTAAGGATAAGCTATGCAGATCACCAGTTTTCCTGTTTTTCACAGACACTGTCATGTGTAACATCAGAAATTAATGGCATAGTGCTGGCACCAGGAATAAATGTGTGATTCCCTCTTTGACTGAAGTATGTTAACATAAAAATTTGTAAAGATATTGCTTCCATGCTATAAGAAACGAATTTATTCTCAAGCTATGTCAGTGGTTAAAATGACTGACATTTCAGGAACCATCATGATTCTATGATATCAGATCCTGATTATGGTGGAAGAGACAGTTCTTGAAATGTGACTTCTTTAACCAACTGACATACAAGTTTTTTGTTGTAATAAGTTGGCAGTGAAGTATTTAGCATGCATAAAATACTGTGCTACAGTGAATAATGTTCAGCTATGTTACACAGTGTTTGATTCATCTACGAAGATTCCGGAGGGAGTACTCTTGGGTACCACTGCCCATCTGGGAAACTTTGATGAATGTTTGGAGGTGAATGTGAATGAGGACTGGGGTTCATTCAAGGGCCAGCACTGCATGGCGAGTGTGACCATGAATATGTCTGGTTTTGTGAGGGAGGTATGGTATAGTTTTCTGGCACTACATCCTGTGATCTGGATACAGACATTTTGTTTGTAGTTAACACACAGATCATCCGCCAAGTAAATTTTGCTTCAAGTTATTGTTGAATGGTGAACTAAAATCATTTTATGTAATTAAATTTGAATAATTTTTTACAGTAAAGATTTATAGTTTCCTAAATACTTGTATATGTTTCACTGATGCTCAGTAAACCCTTGTCATACACTGATTTGCTTACAGATGCAGAAACAAATGTCAAAAATTATTTATCATTGTGAACAATTTTAATCCATGCATTAATGGATGCATTTATCCATCATGCCATCCTGGCTTTCATCCATCCAACCAGACATCCATACAGCCTTCCGGCCAACAACCCACTCACCCAACCACCCATCCACCTATGCGCCTACTAATCCATGTAATTATAAATCAATGTTTCTATGTATCTATCTATGTGTTATTTGTCTTTCTGTCTATGTATCAATTTACCAATCAGTGATTCATGTGACATGTATGAAATTGTGATTTCACAGACTTTCTTGTATGGTATTTGTTTATAAGTTGTATTACTTATTAGGATTTATTATGATTAAGAGAAAGCTTACTGTAATAGCTTTCAACACATTCCCACTGAAAACAGAGTTTACCATGTCATTTAATTGCCTGAGAAATTTTATGTGAATTATCGAGAATGATATTAACATTATTCATTGTGAAAGTTTGCATGTGGTCTTGAATATGATGTGTGTGATCAAAAAGAAATGGGACAAAATTTCTGAAAATGAGAATGCCGCTTTAAAATGAGGGTAGATCAATTCCTTTCAAAATAGGCATATTTGGCACATATACATTTGTTCCAACATTCTTGCAGATGTTAGAAGCCTTTCTTAAAATCAGTGTTTAGAATCACCTACAACTTCTCTTTTGCATTGTGTAGTGTGTTTTTGAGGTTATATTATATTGCTAATAGTTCATTCCCATGCTTATAATATTCTGTAAGAAATCCATCCATGATCTGTGAATGTTATAATTTTCAACCATGCAAACTAACCAGCAAAAATTGTGACTCTTCCTAGGTGAAATCATGGCCATTTAAGTGGGCAGTATGCATACCATCTTCGTGTTCTGCTGCTGATCTCAAGGCTTTCCTTACCACAGCATTTCATTTTAATATAAATGTGGATCCATTAGACTGTCACATTCAAGGAAGCAGACCATTTCTACCACTTGATTGGGTTGCAATGTAAGTTTAAGGTGTCAGAGAATAAATTATAAATGTTTCTTGGTCCATTAATGGCTTTTAGCTCAACTGAAATTCACTGGTTGTCCAAAAACTATAGAATCTAATCCCTAAAATAATTTAATATAAATTTTAGTAATGTATTTCTTCCACATCTGATATCATGAATGTACCATTATGACACAAATCCTTCAGAATTAAGTACTGGCATTCATTAACTGTGTAATAGTCATTCCATGACACAAACACCAAAACTACCTTTATAAGGTCACTGTGAACAAATGAAAGAAAGGGGTTGGCATTATAATAGGAGAGACATTGAGTGATACAGTGATAAATGAATGAATTGGAAATGCTGTGAAAACGAATACTTGTGGCATAGATACTGCAAGCACTGTCCCAGGATTTGAGTGGAGTGACATTAAGAAGCACATAAATCTGCAGTGAGGTGACTCAGTATCTGGGCAAAGAACTGGTCCCAGAAATTTATCAATACAAAGCAGAGAAATTTACCATTTGGCCACTAGGTTTGGTGCTTTTAATTAGTAGGCTAACATAATAAGATTCAAAGTTCTCACAACAATGGTTATGAAGAGTTATAAGATAAAGGGAAGAGCTGTCCCTGTGTTTAACGAATTAAGCACAATGCCATTAAGACATATGAAGGAGTGAATGTATAAACACACATTTTCTTGACCTTCACACCAATTGGAGGTGAGTGGTCAGCTTTACACAATGGCCACTTTACAGTCAGGAAAAGCCCTCGGCACCCATTGGATAGGAGGTTGTGTGGGCCCCAGTGCCAGTCTGGATGGAATGGAGAATTCAACATTTCTCACCCTCATTGGGATTCAAAGTCCTGCCCCTTGGTTGTCCAGCCCATAGCCAGTGGATATACCGACTGTGCTATCCCAGCTTTTTACTGAGTTATATCTTCTGGAATATAACACCATGAAGTCTGTTTAAAGTCAACCACGTTTTGGAGGAACAAGTTGTTTCCATCTTCAGCTCTGCTTGCTACTTCCCTCATGCTGATATTTCTTGCTTGCCTTATTATTCGGCCTTGAAATTGAGGCAGAAATTTCAACCAAAATATGGTGACTTGCAATGGGATACATGGCATTATATCCTGGACATATAATAATTCAGGTCAACATAAGTTATAAATAAACAACTACAAAACTTCCCTGCACATCTTGAGCATATTTTCAGTAGCACAGACTTTTAGGGACTTAATTTTTTCAGATATAGTTTCAATGCTTGTTCAGCTATCCTGTTTGTATTAAAAATGTAAGGAAATATTACAGTATTTGTTACCCATAACAGTCCCACATTTCAGCTTGTGCTGCTATTATGTTTGTATTCAAAACATAAAGAAATATTACAATATTTATTACACATAACAGTACAAATTTAATATGAGTAATGGTTTACTTGCTACAGTGTTCAAATGAAAGTTATGTTGTTAGTTTACATGCTTTACAAGAAAGGTTGCCCCTAACTCCACCATTATGCTGGCGTGAATGTTGATGAGAGGGAGTTGAAATGTGTGATGATGAGATGGACCTCCAGCGGCATTACATTCATACCAAGTTGTATAAGAAATAATTTAATTGGCTGAGAAATTATTACAGCAGGGGACTTACACATGCTTGAGGACATGCACATATAAACACACACACATGCACATGCACATGGGCTAGACATAGGATGTTCAATTGAGAAATGTCAGAATGTTTTTAACTCCACCATCTGATGAAAACTTCAGTCAGAAGTGTAGGTGTTATGGCTGAAATTGGAATTGATCATCTTTTAGTCATCAATTGGAAGGGCTTAGAACTAGCTGGAGATGCTCCAGTATTAAAAAATATAGCTGTTAGCCAAACCCAGCAATAAAGTAAAATCCTTTTGCACTTTGAGATTTTTGGTAAATTCTTAATTACTTCATTCTAATATTTTCAGAACAGTTCTCAGCTTCTTTGGCCTGCTATGTGTTCTCAGCACTGGGTATGATATTTTTGTCACAAATCCATGTAAGTTTTATTATTTAAAGCAATTTTAAACAATTTTTAACTATATATTGGTGGTATTTGACTGTCAACACAGCAATAAAAATAAACCAATCAAACTGCTCATATTGGTTTTACTTCATACCTTCTATATATTTCGGTTCAAGTATGGGACCACCTTCAGCAGTCTCATCAAATACATCTCTTGTTATTGAACTGTCCTTATATGGATCCATATTAGTGATCCTCATCACAATCATGTTATTCATGCAACTGTCAGGAAGACGCAAGAATTTTTCAAATTTTCTAATTCTTCAAATTTTTGAAATTTAAATTTAAGATTATTCAAAATTCTTTTGTCATTGAATGTAAAATTCTGTGTTGTTTTTGTGTTTTTGTTCCTCACTGAAGGTTGTCCTTTGCCCAAGGTTCTCTGTTATACTATATATTATAAAATATTCAGAATTCACAATTCAATTCATAATAATCTTATTACATTTTAGATTCTCCTCATTTGCCTTCTTGGATATCTTCTTGTGATTTTTTTTCCCCTTAGGGTGTACTCTATATTCTTTCTGTGTGCGCATTTATGTTGTATCTGTTCCTGGTGTCAATATGGACCGAACTATATAGCAACTATCAAATAAAACCCATGTGAGCAGTTCGATTGGTTTATTTTTATTGCTGTGTTGATGGTCAAATACCACTAATCATGATACAACAGGATGCAAACAGTGAAGTTGACTACATATATTTTGATGAGTCTATAAGGAATTAAAAACACACCAATTATATTTTCATGGCTTTTAATGTAAGCCCTTATCATCATTTGTATTAGGGGAATGAAATGTTTCCAGAATATAATTAGTCATAATTATTTTGAAAATAGAAATATGAAATTTGTTAAAACTAGTCTTAAGTCAATACGTAATTTCTTCCAAACAGAGCGAAACTGGGACACATGTCCTGTGGCAGTGTGGCTTAAGGCAACAAACCTGAATGTGTCCATAATTTAGGTTTACTGCATTTATCAAATGCAGAATTATAACATCACTTCTGTAATTCAAGGGAATCATAAAAGCAAGGAAAATATATTCATTTAGATCTGGACTTAGTCATTTGCTCCCATTATGGTAAAAATCAATAATGCTACATTAAATCTGGACAATGCAAATTCCATAAAGTTTGTTACTAAAATAATTGTATTATAAATTAATGCAATGTAGGTTATGATGATGAAATACAAACAACTAAATTCCTTGGTATACAAATTGGCAGTAGCTTAAATTGTTAAATTGGAAAACACAGTGTGAATATATTCATATTAAAACTAATGTAAGTTCAGCATGGTTTTCTGTGAAGATAGTCACATCTCTGACAAAAATAACATACATATCATAAGATCACATGGACACAAATAATATAATAAAAAAATATGACTAACTGAAAGACAACACAAGAAATGTTTCAAACAAAGTAGTATTTTCAAAATTTTTTAGATTATGAAACTTTTCTCTTCATGAGAAATACTAACTCGGCCAGAGGCCAAAACGCAATTCATAACTGGAGAGAGGATACAAGATTATATGGCTCAATTTATGCAAAGTGTCTAATTTTAAAATAAACTGATATCATTGACTTGTGCAACATACAACCTCTGGTGCAATTACAGTTTTCCACTATAAGCTGAAAGTCAGGATAAATCAGGATATACAACTTTGGGATTCATTCTTTTCCTCTATACAAAGACAAGTGGACAATAGCTGTAAGAGCAGCACAGGTATTACATTCACTCACTCATGGAGATGAGCACTTCTTGAGAAGCCGCCAATTGTTGTATTCTCTAGGAACACTAGATGATTGACATAGGTCAGGAACTTGGTAATCCCAAAAGGGCACTTTATTATTTCATATTTTATGGGTGTTTCTAGATTATATTAATTTATTCATTTTTATACCTTGAATTGCCCTGTCACTGAAAGGCATGTTGTGGTTTAAAATGATCAAAATAAATAAGATACAAATGCAGAACACAAACAGAATATCAGACAAAGGACGTCCAAAAACTCAGTAATCAAAAGAATGTATTTCTTGGAAAATATAATTGAAGCATGCAGATAATCCTAACATGCAACTTTTAACAAAATTATGGGGAAATAATTATGAAGCTCGATAGCAGTCTATACAAGTGATTTTTTTATCACTAATTACAATTTACATCAAAAGAGTGTCACTACATCATCCATAATTAATTTTTCAGAACAAAAGTATCAAAATATGTAGTTCACGAGATTTGTTTAACATACAGCGTGCAAGGGAGGTTAACCACACTGATGTAAGATGGATATATGAGAACTACAACATGTATCTAACGTGATAACAGATCATATTATTAAAATGTTCATGCTCTATCCTATATGCAAACAAGGGAATCACAGGGAACGTCTACTGATCTTCTCATGGTACACAAATGGGAAACAGCTCCTGAGCACAAAGAGCTCTAGCAGTATACTGGAGTGTCTGCATGGTATACGGTTCCTCAGCATCATTTGGATTGCATTTGGCCATGTAAACAGCGCAGTAATTTTTTTGCCTCAAATTAACTTGCTCAATTATGCAAGAAAAGTGAGTAATACCTTGTAAGATTTTGAGTAATACCAGTATAATAATTATTATAACACAACAATAATTAAAGTAAATATGAAAGCCCAAGCTAATTTAATGGTTAAGGTATTTGTTCTTCTGTAGTAGCCACAACGTGCTCCAATATGCCTAATAATGGGAGGAATGATGATGATGATATGTTTTTCATTTCAGTTCAATGGATTTGATTCTTTCAATTGTATCTATTGCCCTTGTTTTGTACCGAGACAGGAAAATCTGAAGAATGGGTGCATCTGCATGCTTTCTGTCACATTTAACCGCTGTGTTGCTGAATTTCACATTAAAATTTTAAATGAATTGTAATCATCTAAACAGATAGTGACTCTCAAGTGTTACACATGATGAAGTCCTCTTTTGTCACCATTAATGGAGCAGAGAAAAAAGGACACTAGTAACACACAACTGTAGTGTACACTCTAAACATTTTCTAAAAAAATGTGAAATCAGGAACACACAGGAGGCAGTGTGAGGGAGGATGAGATCATGTGAGATGACAGTGTACATAGAAGGTTAGAAATTCAATGAATATTGTGCATGGAGCTGCATCCATTCCTTAACAAGGGTGATTGATTCATTGCCCTGACTCTGTTACTATAGCTAAGAGACTGGGGACACGTGGCTGCACCTGGTTCGTTGTTTGCTGTTGACTGTTTTCTCTTAATAAGTGGAACTCTGCTATGTTACACCTTCATGAATATGAGAAAAGGGATGAACTTCAATCTACCTGTTTATGTTCTTCATCGATATATGAGGTGAGATACAGTTTAGTAAAAGAATTACTACCACTTCAGTACTTACGTGGAAGGTAATTATTCTCTGAATCGGATAACAAAATAATTGTTTAAGAAATATTATATATGTCCCTGATTTAATGTTTCCAATTTAAAAATTTGTATGATGTCAAGGTGAGGTTAGAGAAATGTAAACAATTTTGTACCAGATGGTTGTTAGTGCAATATAAATTAAGGCTAGTCATTGATAATTAATTCCATTTCAATTATGTGGAATTCACATACAAACCCATACCACTGACCTGAATGATTAATTTAAGAAAGATGTTAAAGGAAATTGAAAAAAAAAAAATTGATGATGAATGTGGCGGTTTATATTGATATCGTGTACATGTAATCATATTGGAACTGATCATATAGCAGCAAAAGGTTGTTCTGTTTTCTCAGCCTTCTTGTAAAATATTAGTGCTCTGATCTTCATATTTTAAATTATTTATTAATATAATAATCACATTAATTCAGTACAAAATATTTCCATCCTAGATTAATCATTCCTCACTGCATTATTGTATCAGCCTAATTGAATTACTCCCTAAACGTTTGTATCTCATTTTATACAATTAATGAGTGAACATTTTATATGCAACAATGATGCCCATGTTGACTGTAAATGAATATTTGTTCAATTTACTTGTAGTGTGAACTGCATAGGCATATCTTTTTCTGTATTTTATTATTTTATGTCAAAATTGTAAAGACAATCTGTGCACAGACAACATTTCCCTGATGTTATATATTAACAGTTCATGTCAAGACACTGTGTAGTTCTGTAGATAGATGCCACTAATCAGGAAGAAACTAATGCCTCCATGTCCACTCTCTTTCTCTGAAGAAAGGGGCAGCACGCTCTCCACAAAATTGGCACGATATACTGAAATACACCCCATCACATTCAAGAGGATTATAATCTTTGTACTCACAGTTGTGAGTAATCTTAATCTTTCATGTCTGCAGTTATTTCTGTAAGTTGCTACTCAGTTTCTGAAGGCAGTCCTCTCCCTAATATTCCCAATATTCATTTTTTCTCCTTTTTTCTGTGTACCTCTCACATGTAACAAGCTTTTAGACATTTTCACTCGTGGAATAATGGTGAATTTTACTGTCAGCTTCAGTTTCTTTCTATAGAGATGTTCGTTTAGAAGCATATCTCACATTTCACTGATAAAAGAAATTAATTTCTTTTTCATTTATTAGGACAACACCTCTGATGGCTGTACTTATTCTTGTATACACAAGTCTGATCCTACACCTTGGATCTGGTCCCATGTGGGATAGCTACTTTCACTCAACTCATGTAGATATCTGTAAAAGAAACTGGTGGACAGCAATTTTTCACATCCAAAACTATGTTCATCCTACGGAAATGGTAAGTATTGGCTTGGGAGTGAGATAAGTGATGCAAGAAAAGAAAACATGAGGGCATGCCAAAATGTACTAAGTCTCCTTTCTAAGAAAGAAACCATATTGTGGTATGAGCTGAACTGGACTAATTCTAATTTGTGCAAAATTTCATAATTTCATAGTTCAGCCACTAGAGGTACCTGAAGTACAGGCATGAAAATTGCATGGCATACGTAGAAGATGTGACTTTGGAATTTTGTGGTATGCCACAAACACATACAGGACAACATCAAAGAACCATCTTCTTGAGAACGAGAAGGAGGCACATGTCCGGCCCCCGTCAAGAGAAATAATAAGAAAGACAACATGAACCTACTTGGCTTATAAATTCCAATAAAATCTTAACAAACCAATTACAAATATTTTAATGTATTGGAACAGCTGCTGTAGTTGTAGAAACTTTAGATTTTATACTCAATTGTATATTATTAATATTATATGTATATATTTTAATGTTCAGGACATAGTATATTGTAATAGTAACTTCCAACTTTATTGATGTAAAGGTGTCCCTCTGATGATGGTCTCTGAAGACCGAAACATATAAGGGCATAAATAATTGAAATAAAAAAAAATCTTCAGCAGTCACACTAGATGGAACTATTTAACTTTTCATGATATTGTTAGTGTGATGGACCAGAATGAAACAAATCAAATAACATGTTTCTATTCATTCATCAAAAGTAATTATCCATACAAATGTTAAGAAAACAAAGGCAGAAAAGTACAAAATGAAAAGTAATAATAAAACGGATATGACATATTGAATAGCAAAGAATAAGTCCCTTAAAAATTGCTTGGTGCACAGAAATTACCTCACCAGCTGGCCGCACTTTGTACATTTGTCACAATCAAATTTCAGTGATGGACAAGCATAATCTGTCATAATATCAAATCATACCTAGAATCGATGCTGAGCTTCACTGTCAACTCTTGCTAGTGGGATGCATGGAAGTGAATGGAAGATGATGCACTAAAGCAAAAATTTCTTATTACTGGACATGTTTTCCAAGCTGTCATGCTTTTAACATTAGCTGCTCATATGTAATTGCTGGATCTTTCAAAGCAAATAAATTAACAAACTTAAAAAATACAAGATTATGTTGCGAAGAAAAAATCACTGACATTTAACTGTCTGGATAGTAACCAACAAATATGCAGCATGATAGAACTAACCCGTTAGCAAAGTGTAATGGTGCTTTCATCAAGGTAACTTTGTAAAACATGGGTGCTACATGGCTGTATAAATAAAGGTCCATAAGATTATAGTTATGTGTAAAGCTTAATTAACTTATAATATTGTAAATAGAATAAACTTATTCATAGGCATTATACAGTAAATGGATAGGGGATATGGAACTAAAACTACACATTCTTAATCTCAAAACTAAACGGATGTACCTTTTCAGCTCAGCAATGCAGCTGCTTTAAATGGGTAGAATAGTCAAATTGGCACGTGTGCGCACACGCACAGATACACGCACACATATACAATACTGAATGTGGGTAAGTGTGGATCCCAGAGAAATTCTGGTCATAGGAAAGAGAAGAAAATTCTGTCACCCCACACCCCCAAACTCAAGGATTATTATCCCACCTATTCAGTCAACAACAACATACCATTTTCCTGGCTTAGTTAATATAAAGCCATACTGTGGTGTATTAAATGTATGTGTGTGTATACATAACCGCATAAAATTTGTCTAGATACAGTGTGATTATGTAAGCGTTAAAACTATGAATGAAACTGTGAATTATCATCAGATGAAATTGGTACTGTATTGAGAATGTGTATGGTGGAGGTTTCACTGTGTAGTACTTATATTATGTTGCATATTCATAAATTCAGGATTTGCCAGTTTAATGAAATCCCAGTCTTATTAACAAAAAATGGTATAACAGCATCTTTTACATGACTTAACATTTTCATCCACAGTGCCTAGTTGAATCATGGTACCTGTCTGTTGACATGCAGCTATATTTGTGTTCTGCTCTCCTCCTTCTGCCTCTCCACAAGAAGCCAAAATTTGGACTAATTTTGCTTGAAGTGGTAACAGCAGGCTCTATCCTCTCCTGCTTCTTGGAGTTATGTTTGAACAATGAAGTAATATCACTGTAAGTATATCTCCCTTTCTATGTGTCTATCTGGGGCCAATGTATGGATGTTACTGTTCATTCTGGCTTGTAGCATATTGCCTCAAGCATTGACAAAGATAAAATGAATTATTATTTGAGGCCATTTACACATACCTGCACTAAGCATATGCATCCAATTGGACATTTTTGTGGGTATTTGTTTGACAGTATGTTTCACGCAATGAATGAAATGGACAGTAAAAGAAACCAAAAATGTTTTCTCATTAGCTAACAATTTGTTGATATAAAGTCCAGTAATAAGGATTTTATCCCTAGTTCGAATGATGTTCCATCCTATTCTTATGCGCACACTCGAGCTGCCCCCTGGTTTATTGGAATGAACTTGGGTTACTACCTCTCCCACACCAGCCAACTGAGGAAAAACATTGCTGCTGGAAGAAGAAGGGGTCTTTCAAAGGTAATAACATGTGTCTAAAATAGGGACAGAATACCTAAGAAGTTCAGGAGATTCAGAACTGAAAGGACTGTATTTGAAAGTTATTCAATGCTTCTGTTTATATTCAACTTTAGACAGTTAATTAGACAGTTACTCAGTGTTCTTGATGTTGAAGATATTCCATATTGGCATGTGACCACTTCCAGCCCAGCAAAACTTATAAAACTATTCACTCAGCCCTTTAACACAGATTATGGGCACTTGTGTTCTAAATAATGGTACATGTGTTGCAGAAATTTGTGGGTGTTGGTTGGCTGCTGGCATTTGTCTGCTTGGCTGCACCAATCTTTGTACAGCATCAGTTTGTACAGGAAGATTTCACCCCTAGTCGCTTGGAAACAGCACTTTTTAAAACTCTATCAAAACCAATATGGTCTCTAGGAATTTCCTGGATTATATTCGCCTGTGTTTCAGGATATGGAGGTAAGTACTTTAAAGGTTCATAGTGTTTACATATGTGATGTACCATATACCAGCATTAATTTTAAGAAAAAAAACGCACAATCATTGAATCATCTACAGTAAAGTTCGCTTGATCCAGTGAACCCAAGGAACTTTCCACCAGACCATCATGAATTCCATATTCCTGTAAGCAGGATAATATTTCATAGGTTTAAAGTTGACTCAGCTTAATGATTATTCATATCAGCACACATCCATGTAGAGAAGGAAAAAACTAAGTTAAAACAGCTAAACCTATATGTCCTTGTCAGTGTTTCCTTCACTTTGAATGTAATGATTCCTAAGTTTAGTTCCTCATGGATTCCTTCACTCAATTCAGGCAAATACTGGCATAGCATTCTACCTTCCGAATTCTCATTCATGGTCAACTATTCATCAATGATATAAAATCTGAATAATTCAAGAAGAAACAACTCTGTTATAAATGATATAATGATACAATTCCATCCCAAGTGCAAACAATATATTATGTGTCCTTGATCTTGTTCACCTACACTACATGTTTCGGCCTCAGACGGCCATCATCAGGTGTATAACACTCACGTTGCTGTCACACTGCACTCAGCCCAAAATTTAACATTTAAAACACTTTTCTTGTTATTATCAACATCTACTTCGTTGATATCTGTCTGGATGTAGATTATTTTACACACGTTAATTTTGACGTACCTGTAGTAGCACTATAAAATCTTTAGTTCTAATTTTAAAATCCTTTAAATTTTTTTTTCTCTAAATTTAAAATTTAAAATTGTTAGGGTTACTCGCTGCAGTGGCTGGTTCTTGTTTCCACACTGTATAAGTGTTATCCTGTGTAGTCTTCCTGTGTGTGTGCCGCTGTTATTCTTTACTACGTGTGTTGAAGTAGATGTTGATAATAACAAGAAAAGTGTTTTAAATGTTAAATTTTGAGCTGAGTGCAGTGTGACAGCGACGTGAGTGTTATACACCTGATGATGGCCGTCTGAGGCCGAAACATGTAGTGTAGGTGAACAAGATCAAGGACACATAATATATTGTTTGCACTTGGGACGGAATTGTATCATTATATCATTTATCGTATGGAGTGCAACAGGATGCTTAAATATAATATTGTAAACAACTCTGTTATGCTAATCATTAAAGATTAAAGCAGTTCACATGTAAAGTCCCCTGAACTGGTAAGGATGATACAGTGGGGGAAAGCAATTCTGTCTGTAGAGTTATAATGTTTCCTAAACCTATAACACAACTGTAACTTATACTGTAGTTGAAAAGTTGTTTTGTGGATTGAAGTCATGAGCAAAGCAGAGTACTGTTTATACCACACATGAAGCATAAAAAGTTAATTTATGCATGCTGTTACAGGTCCAGTGAATGCCTTTCTGTCATGGAAGTTCTTCCACCCACTCAGCCGTTTGACTTACAGTATTTATCTCCTTCACTTTTCCGTCATAGGAATACAATTACTTCCAACTAAGATGCTGTCACATGCTGATGACTTGAGTGTGGTAAGTAAGGTGACAAATTTCTGTCCACCATTTTATACACAATACAATTCCATCAACGATGCAAGTATTTCCATCACTCCTTCCTTTCATAACATGTTTCGGCCTCAGACGATCATCATCAGGTGTCTCAGCTATGCCAAACTACAGTATGCCGCTGCAGAATAAAAATCCAAAGAGAGGGATATCGAAATATATTGTTTGGACAAGTGAATGATGCCACTAGCATGGATGAATCATCCAGCATGCATTAGGTTCCTACAAGAGTTCTTCTCACACAACAAGCAGGTGCCATTACCTATACAGGCGAGAAAATGGGAAATTTATATATGGAATATTATTTCTAAGAGACTGATATCTATGCAAGCATCATAGTGGTTTTCAGCAGTGATGTACACTACCCTGTTGGCTATACCTGCACCATCAACTTTGAATTTCTAACATTTTTATGTCTCTGCAACAGGTATCAGTCTTGTTTTCAACAATGGTGTTCACTATCCTGCTGGCAATACCTGCATCACTAACATTTGAATTTCCTCTGTCGGCCCTTCTCAGGGTTCTTTCTGGTGAGTAGAGGTAGCATAAAACCCATATTAGTATATAGCTGTGTCTAGCTAAAAATAAGGGGAAGTGAATTTTATGCATATATCTACAGTCCTGCTTAGTTACATGGGAAAGGTCTATTTAGGTATTGTAATTATATGTGCTATTAACATGCTAAACAACTAAACCTAAACTCAGAATATAAAACTAAGTAACATAAATTTTGGTACTGAACCGTAACACCTAATGTCACTACACTCACCAAAATACTCAGACACCTGTAACACTACAAACATTATCTCAGAAATTTTGTGAAATGACTTACTGATTGACTATCTGATTACTTTAGTGGGTGTATGGTGAAATAAATGATGTCGGTTTCATACATCTTTAAAATGATGATGATGATCTAAGAAACATACTAAACTGACATTAATTTCGACATTGCATGTCTTCCACACCGGTGGGAATGGGTATATCACAACTCAGAAACAAACATTGTTCTTCTTTAAGAAAGGGTTGCCAGATGGAAACGAGATTTTTAAAAAAGGAATAGAGACCACAGAATAAACTTCATATTTTTGCATTCTGTAATATTAGGAAAAGGACTGAATGGAAGTATTTGAGACGTAAGGGTAGCTATGATAAATGTTATGAATATAAAAATTAGTTAACTACAAAATCATAAATTTAATCACAATTCAGATCAGAAATTCTTTTCCCCAAAACATGTTTGCCTCCACTTACGTGCCTGGTTTTAGCCTTAAGGTCAAAAAATAAAGTGTACATAGAGTGTACCTGCAGAAGTGCGATTTTGTGACATGTCTGTTAGCCAGGACACGTCAATTGTTTGCCAAAGTGTCATGGCTGAAAAGGGCTCTGCTTAAGTTCATGCATATGTATGAAGACAATTAAGTTCTTCATGTTATCTTTCCTACTCATCACCAGTGTTATCTACAACAGTTCACTGAATTAAGTACATGAACTCAGGCCTAAATGAATAACACATATTGCTGTTCATGGTTCTTTCTATAACCTAATCAACACAATTATAACTGCCATGTCTTTCTTTTACCTATGAATGCATAAACTGGTAACTTTACTAGGCCTACCAGATGAAAAAGTGTCACATCAAATGAGGCACAATCTTAAAAGCACAGGAACATCAAATATGTAACAATAGATCTTTGACAAATATGTGTATTTAGTGTATTTTATCCATAAATTGGAAATATCATGTAAAAGCTCGACAGAAAATATTTTTATTTGTAATTTAATAATTACTTTTAATGGATTTTAAGGAAACTCAGGTGTATTTGTAATCTGAGACTTGAGACCTATTAAATATAAATTTCATGCTGTCATTTCCTCAATAGATGGAATGTTTGTATAGCAAATCCTGCTCATAACAGAATCTGAAGAAATTTAAAAATTTTCTCTGTCTGACACCTCTCTGTCTAACTTTGTAGTCCAGAAAGGAAACCCTTTCCAGTTGGCTGAATTGGAATCCACCATCCTATTACATCGTTCCGCATATAATGCCTGCTATTTTTTTATAGAAAACTACAACAGATACAGAAAGCATAATAATGCAGTTAAATAGAGCAGGATTTCAGCTACTTACAGTTATTTTTCCACATCATCACCACCATTCGTTATGCACTTTTGCCAGCGATGAACAAGAGCCTGTATGCTGTGCCCATAAAGTCTGCGCCAGCAGAGACTAGCCACTTTCTTACAGCTGCAATGACAGCAGCGTTGTCTGGGAAAAGTTGCCCATGTAGTCCATCTTTCTTAGGCCCAAAGAGATGGAAGTCTGAAGGTGCTAAACCGGTGCTATAAGGTGGATGTGGTAGGACAGTCCAGCCAGACTTTGCAATGTTCGCGGTGGCTGCCAAACTTGTATGGGGTCTAGCGTTATCGTGTTGCAAGCGAAATGTTGTCTGCTTCTTTGGCCTGACTCGGGAAATGCGGGCTTTCAGCTTAGTCAGCGTCGTTTTGTAGCGTTCCGAATTGACAGTCCCTGGTCGTTATCTGCTGATCTGTACGGATGAGGCACTGTTCATTGCGAGGAGTGGCAGCTGAGCAGGGACGCCCAGGGCGTGGCTTGTCGTGCACTTCACTTTTGCCACTGTTGAAACGCACTACCCACCGAATCACTGTGCTGACATCCACTGTATTGTCTCCATACACCTTTAGCAAATGTCGATGGATGTCAGTGGGTACAATTTGTTCAGCAGTGAGAAATTCAATAACACATCTGTGTTTCATACCCACTTCTATATCAGACATCATTTTGGTAGACTGCTCTGCTGTCACTATCTCTACTACAACACCACCAACATCCATCTCAGACGTTACATATTAACACAAAAAAAATAGGAGGCATTATTTATGGAACGCCCCTAGTACAATATCATGATATTACAATTTTTAAATTCATAACAATAGATTTCCTTGCGATGTGTTTAATGATACCCTAGGCAACAAGAAATGTATATTATTATTTGTAATTGAATTATTCACTTCTAAGGGGTAATTCTTCTTACTCACATCTCCTTAAGGATTAAAAGTGTGGGAACCTCCCACAGAATTTAAACAAATTTACAGTTTTCTTGAAGGAGCCTCCATTACTTTGTTATTTCCATATAATCCATGCTTCCTTAATACCTTTATTTCATTGAAGTATTTATATTAAAAAATCAATACAAAATCGACAATAATCATTGTGTTTGTCTAAAATGTTTGTCTGAATATCGAAGAATGTCAGAGATTTATTTATAGTTCAAGAATACTTCAAAAGTCAAGGAACATTTGTAGTATACTCTATGCAGTTATTGTCATTTTGTTGTCCAATGAAACACCAAAATGAGAAAGGAATTTCTAATGACTCTTCGCGAATGCTCTCTTTATCTTGTTGCCATCTTCATGAATTCCACAGCCGTTGAATCCAACACCAATTTCAAGCTACATTCTCAGAGTCCGCATGGAGGTTTTTGAGGACAATCACAAGAAACTTTAAGTTAAGGTATTTGGTATCACTGTCCTCACATAGTCCAGGCCTGGGAAACTGTCAACCTGCTTTGTATATAAATATGGCGTGTGAACATTGATCACATCAACAGATGATGATGGAGACAGAGATCGACTTTGGAACATTGGACACCAATTTGTATTGACATGGTTGATCATCCCCAAAGGCTTCATTTGTTACTATTATTTCTGAAAATAATGTAACATAGTACAAAGTAATTTTTTATGCTCCTTAGGTAAGCAGAAGAAATGGGCTCCACATGAGGTCAGCAGTGCATCCAAACAGGATGATATGACAGACAATGGTGCTCCTCACTGTGTAGTGATTCCTGGTTCAAACATCAGTCATGATATGAATACACCAATGAAGTACCCATCAAATCTTAATATTCTGGATGGAAACTACATTCACAATAGAATGCAATGAATCAATTGGGTAATGAATGGCCATGTACATACATAGGATATTTGTATCTTGTAATGTTAGCACTGCTATATTTTGTTTGAAATACAGCTACAAAATCCAGGAATTGGTTTATGTACCATAAGAAATTCTAACTAGGAAAGAGATACTCAAGGCTTACTCGAGTTCCAGTAATTGAGGTTTGGTCTTTCTTAGGGACAAAACAGAATACATATCTCCCCCCTCTCACCTGAGGATGATAACAGATCCAGTTTTCGAAACGTTGTGTTTTCTAGTTTCTAGAATGCCAGACGACGGACAAAGTCTGAAATTTCAGTAATTGTGTTATACACCATCGTCAGAACTCTTTCGGAACTACCGACCAAAAATGCTTCAGGACTCGCAAAGTGAAGGAGAAGCCGAAAGTGCTTGCTCATGGGGAGTTTGTATACATCAAACACCAACAGTTCTAACCTGCCTAGTCTCACCTCATCAGATTGTGAATTCTCTTCTTGTGTCTTCTAGCTTTCATGTCAAAACACTGTATTATGATGTCTGCTGTGACATCACAAACTGAGGCATGGATACAAATATGGGAAGTTACAGGTGTTACATGCGGTGTTGAGAAGTGAAGGTGGACAAGGAATCACTAACAACTGCAACACGGCATATTGACTTAACAATCTGCAGAGAAGGAAGTTGCCTATACTCGTAGATTTGAAATAAATCGTCACAACAGCATAGTGCAGGACTTTGCAGAAACTGAGTTCCAAATTTAAAGAAACCTACAGATGTAAGAATTAGTAAATCTCTGTGCCAACTAATATATTTGTTTCTTTTATACTACATTTTCAGTTTATTTTATTCCTTACAACATAGTCAAACCAATGTAATTCTCAGACCATAAGATGGTAAGTATTCGTTAATGTGGTTTCCATTCATGTTTTCCATCTCAACATAAGACGCTATCCAAATTCATTAATCAATAACTATAGATCCTATGATGTGCATGGCAAAATTGTCTGGTGTCAAGATTGTAGTTTTCTGGGATGTGATGCTTAGCTAATTGTGCTTATAATATTTGGTGAAGAGTACAAATTATGTAGCTCCTCAAATCATATTGTCTTCTTTGTTGTGGAAATGAGCAATTTTACGCTAATAAGCGTGTTTTAACCAGCCTGATTTTTCAAGGGTATTGCTATCTAGTATGACATCCTTCTACACCTCACTATAAGAGATGGCAAACTTTGTGAGAATGCTGATAATTGTGTTGTATAACTGGAGCAAGGTTAATTTCATCATATGCTTTTGAATAGAAAATTTTACAAAGTGTTTCTGTTTTCTGTAAATACTGATAACAGAAACAGTTTTGTCAGAATAATAAGACCACTAAACCTGTAATTTGAAATTCCTCTTCTACTTTACTCTGTTTATTCCGAATTTCAATTGCTCTGTAGTGGCACTGAATGCTGGGAAGCATCACTTTTACCTAAGCAGAACCATAAAAAGGAAGGAGAAATGTATTCCACAGAGTATGGATATTCTGCAGTTATGTATTCATTGCAGATACAAGCACATATTAGCATATAAAGCCCCTTGCACACAGTGGATGCCACACTGTCTAGTAGCAGTGTCACTTCTTTCATATATTTAGGGAAATATGGAGCACATTAAAAGAATTTGAAATAAATAAGTTTATGATAATGAAATCTGTACTTCACATAATGTACCAATCTTTGATGATCTTGCAGAGAAATAATAAAGTCTGACTTGAGATTCATGAAAAAAAGTGTTTACATTGGACCAGCACACCAAAGCAGACATTAAAGAAAACTTATTATGTGCACATTCAACAAACAATTATATCTGATATCTACTTAGTAACCTGACACTAATCCTGTGAATGGAAGCAAAAACTTCATTGTCTTTGGCTTGTGAACTCTATTTCATAACTTCTCCCAGGACCCAATGAGCACAAACTTTCCTATAGCCCAAGCTATCAATCATCTCATGTACTGCACTGTGTTCTATTTCAAGTTTTCGGGCTACTGTGTCCACAGTCACACGCCTGTCATCTTGAATAATCTCATCCACTCTTTCCTTGTTGCGTTCAGTTGAGGCTGTTCGAGGATGACCGCTCCAAGGCTCATCTTCGATGCTGGTGTTCCCACCTTTAAAATGTTTCACCCATCTTTGAACACTGCTCGCATCCATGCACACACTTCCATAAGCACACTGAAGTCTCTGGTGAATTTCCACAGCAGGGATTTCCTCTTTCACAAGAAATTCGATGACAGCATGCTGGCGAAATGACATACGGTTTTTGGCCCTTCTGTTAGGAGCGATACTGGTCATGTGATGCAAGCTCTTGAAGTCACAAGACACTCAAGGTTAACACAACAGCTGGTTCCACCTACCACCATACTCTCTTTCGTCTGCTGTTCCCAGGTTGCATGCAAAGAAAGTTGCTCATGACTTTCGGTACGGCCTACGTAGATAACCGCTGAGTAACATGCAACAGTGTAGGAACTGTGGGAATCAGTGTCTTCTATGTGATTCGTGCTGATTGCTACATCATGCAACAATGAAGAACTGTTGGGAAAGCTGTTTTCTGTGGGTTCCATGCTGAGGCCTTAATAAGGATGCACCTGGTCTGGAGAAGTGTCTTCAGAACATTCATTAGAGTGTACTCCCTATTCAAAAGTGAGCGATTGAGCGCTAACATTAAACTGACCCTCCATAAAGCTCTTATTAGATCCGTAATGACTTATGCTAGTCTCGCCTGGGAGTTTGCGGCAGACACTCATCTAGTGAAATTGCAGCGCCTGCAAAACAAGGTTCTCCGCACGATTGGCAATTTTCCAAG